GGACTCTCAGCCGGTGGTTACAAGCGTCAATGGAATCTGCGTGACAAGGGTGAGTTTCTTCAAAGTCTGGCCGGTACAGTGAGTTGTTGCGCTACGACTAAAGGGACGAACTGGTGTATCCTGATACGTCTTCTGTGGAGATGTCTCTCAGGTAGTGATTAGCGAAGACAGTGTCTGACTTCCAAAAGCAGCCTTCCATTATAGATGATATAGAGAAGTTTCCATGTAGGGCGAGTGTTGAGGCCAAAGCTCTAACTTCATGTGGGTTTGATGCTATTGGAAGCTCTAACCCTGCTGCTTTATAGGCTCTTAGGATCACTGCTCTGATCCAGAAGGAGATCGATGTACAGGATACTTCTACAGCCGTAGTGGTTGATAGCGGGATGAATAGACGCTTGAACTTCCTTCTTCTCGTAGCAGATTTCTGCAAGTAGATTCTCAGCGCTCTGACCGGGCATAAAGATAAATCTTGAGTGTCTTCTGGACCCAGGATGGTTGATAATGCCGGAACATAGAACTGGTGATCCGGTTGGCCCGGTAGCTGGTTCTTGTCTATAAAGTCCCATCTAAGTCCTAGATGGACTGCTTCCCTTCTTCCCGTGTCGAATCTCGTACAGTTGAAGTCAAGGGCGTGCATTTCTGACATCCGAGCAGCGGTAGTCAAGGCGAGGAGGAATATCGTCTTTTGAGTTAATAACTTAAATGTCGTCTGCGTCAGCATTCGTATACATGACTGATGAGGTGCTGCAACACTATGTTGAGGTCCCATGCTGGTGCTCTGAACTTCTGTTGTTGATCTTCCAACTTGAAAGATCTCAGCAGGGACACTAGATCAGGCACCTTGGTCAACTTCACCCCCTGTATTCATGGTGATGACCGAGCTGATTGCCGCAAGGTATGTAGACAGCGTAGAGCCCTCAGATGTCTGGTGGACCTCAGATGACTGACTGACTGAGTTTGGTTTTACGCCGCTTTTAGCAATATTCCAGCAACATCACGGCGGGGGACACCAGAAATGGGCTTCACACATTGTACCCATGTGGGGATTCGAACCCGTGCCTTCGGCGTAACGAGCGAACGCTTTAACCACTAGGCTACCCCACCGCCCCGGACCTCAGATGACACTAGTAGTCTGCTACTTGTGGATGTGTTGCCTTTCTGGCCGTGAACCCCTGTTGAAGAGCATACTGGTCAAAACTTCTCCACTTGTCATCATACAGGTTACGTGTAGATCTTGGTAGAGTAGTGGAGTAACCTCTAGTGGAGTAACCAAGCAGTACGTAATATGCTCCATACGTGTAACTGGAACGCTTCTGGGTTGACATAGTCTCGCTGGCCAATAAGGCGATACCAAAATCAGTTGTAGCAACCTCGTCTGGTTGATCTTGCGTAATACTTGAGGTAGCAGGATCGGTGGAGGGAAGGCGTAGGCCTTCATTCCCTCCCAGGATATGGCTAAGGCGTCGACAGCCCATGCCAGTGGGTCTGGCACTGGCGAGACGAATGTTGTCACCTGTTGGTTGAAACGGGTTACAAACAGGTCGATGAGGGGACGGCCTAGTTGAGTTGTTACCCACTGGAACGCTTCTGGATGTAACTTCCACTCTGTGGGAGATGGCCGTACTGGCCTGGATAGGGCGTCGGCTAGGACGTTCTTTGCCCCTGGGATATGGCAAGCCCTCATCTTCAGGTTGATTTTTCTGCGATGTCGAACAGCTGGAACGTCAGTTGAAGATCGTACTCTGGCTCTCTCAAATAGGTTCCGCCGCAAACATTTGATCCTACTGTCCACTAAAGCAGCTACTGCTTTAGATGTTGCGGGATGGCGAACTTCTGGACATCGTCTAGATGAGCTATCAGTTGCAATCTTCCTCTGCGTGTGAGAGCCTGCTCCGACGTCAGTACACCCAAGAGTCGCCTCCATGTTCTTAAGTCTAGTGGAGAATTGAGGGCGTCTGGTATGCACGACTGGATGCTGTGCCATAGGTCGTCTGGTACCACAGGATGCGGTTCTCTAACGTCATGCCCAGGAACTGTAGATCTTGGGTTGGCTCCAGCTCCGTCTTCTGATGATTCACCAGCCAGCCCATCTGTGTCAGCAGATTGATCATAAACTGCAGCTGTAGTCTGAGTTGATCTGCATCTTGATGTGCCTGGATGCCGTGGTCTAGGTAGAAGGCACTGCGTAGCCCCTTCTGATGGAGATAAGCGACAATCGGTTTGGTTATTGGCGTAAATAACCACGGGGCCGACGAAATTCCAAAGAGAAGGGCCTTCCACTGGTAGTGCCGCCCTTCGAACAGGAATCACAGGTACTTCCGTGATTCTGAGTGCATCGGGATATGTAGATAGGCATCTTGCAGATCTATGCTGGCCATGAAGTCGTTGGGTCGAATAAGATGTCTCAGCTGAGGTAGATGTAGCATCTTGAACTTCTCTGGTTTCAACAGGTAATCTCTGTTGAAGCTCTTCATGTTGAAGATAGTTGAAACTTCTCTTTGGATTTCTTTTTGGGTACCAGGAAAATTGGAAAGTAATACCCAGGCGTGAGTCTGCGTTGATCGACGACCATCTACCGCACCTTTCGTCAATAACATCTCGATAGCTTCGGTGAGCTTGTCTCGCTGCAGCTGTGGATACTTGAAGACCAACGGGTTGTTGGTCAATGGTGGCGTCAACTGCAACTGGATGCTGTAGCCCTCTCGTAATACTTCTATGACGTAGTCGTCCTGTAGTACTCTCCAATTCTCCCAGTATAGACCCAACCGTCCACCCACGGTGACGGTTGTACAGGAACGGCTGGGGGTGGAAGACGCCAGTCGTTCCAAACCTGATCTTTAATAACGGGACCTCCTGCTACCGCTGGAGGACCGCCCACGGCCGGAGTAACTTCTGGTATTACTTGGGCGACGAAAAGATCCTGAGTTGCCGCCACGTGTAGACGGGAACTTCTTCTCTTTGGACCTCTGTATACCTGAGAAGCGGGATCGTAGTTGACTGCGCTGAGTAGATTGACGCACCATGGTGTTCATCGTCTGGACCGACTTGATCAACATCAAGTCCTTGGAGTCTTGAGTTACTTCAAGCGACAACTACCGGATGCCGCCGCCAAACAGTGTAGGCGCTGCCCAAGGTTTTCGTAGTAAAGGCTTGGTCTAGACATCTGGCCATGTAGAGGAACTCAGCAGCCCCTGACAACGTAATAGTGTGATGCCTGCCGACGTAGAGGCCAAGTGATCGGATAAACTCCTGATCCTTGCGCTGTAACACTAGTGTAGACCGGATCATTCTTTCTTCTTCCGACTTAGGATGCTTGAAAGCACACATCAGCGCTTCGTTGATGGCTCTGGACCTTGCTAACCCGTAAAAAACCCTACGGGTTGTCATTTCAAGCTGCGGCAACTTCTTGTCTTCCACCTTGTAACTGTGAGACTTGGAAGTCATCTTCCTTCGTGCAGTACGTCTCGGCCGGATTGTAGTCTCTGGATGGAGACGATATCGAGAGACCATCAGCCACCCACGCCAGTACCTCTGCCTCAGTGAAGATGAAGTCATCATCTTCTGCAGGTTGTCCCCGCTCAGCTGCTAGGCTCTGACTAGAGATGTCTATGTTGACTGCTGACGACGTAGTAAAGGACCAGTCTGCGATGTCTGCCATCATCTCGCCCTCTGTTGTTCTCAGGAACCGTCTGCTTCTTTTCCCGCTCTGCTTCTTCTCCCTACGGGTGATGGTGTCAGCAAATTCTTCAACGTTGAGGACCTCTGCGTTCATAATCGGACACTGCTGCGGGATGAGTGCAACTGACTAGTCTGTCGACATCGCTGATGACGGAGCGTTTTCAAACGCCAAAGGGTTCTCAGCTGACGTCTGCTTCTGCTGCAACTGCTGCGGTAGACTGCCAACAGGAAGATGTAACGTCTTCGACGATCTCACAGCATCACTGCCAGGGGTAGACTGGGGCGATGACATCGGCGACGTCATACTTCTAATCTGTGCTGACAAGTTCTCAGCACTGGATACTCTCTGCGACGCTGCAAGGAAGACCTCAGGCTACAACACTGGAGGTCCCAAAGGACTGGAACCATCTACTTCAGCACCAGGCGCCCCAACATCTGTTGAAGGTCGTTGCATAGGGTTATGCAACGACCACCTCGAAGATCTTGTAGAGTGGGAAGATCTAGATGAATGCCTGGATGACGTGGACTGCTTCCCTGAAGAGGCCGTCCGGTGTTTCTTATGTTACGCCATCTCTGCCTGTGGGAACTTCCTTTTACTTACAGTACGTGGGGTAGACTTCTCCCCTACTGGCAACGTCGCAGACTTCGACTGGGATGACATCGTAGATCAGCAAAGCTCTCAAGATGTAGTCGCAGCAACTCACAGCACTCAAGACTGGTTGAATTTGACAACAGGTTGTATAACTTTAGGCTCAGATTTTTCAATCACATGTGAAAAATTTTATAAGTCAGATATTTCACAATTTAACAGATATATGAAGTCATCAATTCAATATATACACATGATTATACACAATAATCAAACATCAAGACCTATTCAACCCGTAAACCAGCCAAGAAGAACACCCAGGGTGTAAATCAAGCGTTGAGACGTGATGGACTGTTAACATATTTAGAAACACAATCCCGGCAGAATTTGTGCTATATATCCAAAATATTTGAAGTTATAAGCCGCAAAGGGACCCTGAAGTGACCGTCCAACCGTCCGCTTGGGCGATAGAGGAGAGAGTGAGGAGCAAGGCATGGCAGGTCACGTGCCAGTTTTGGCGGGAAAAGGGAAGTAATTCAGGGTGAGTGATTGTACGTTCGCTTCAAGGGAATTGAAGGGATTCAAGTTTCGACTTGACCGTTCGGAAGAGAGGATGAGAAAGCAAATAAGCATCAGAGGATAAGGACAAATTATCTGGTATATAACCCATCTAGGTTAGGTGTGTCTGATATAATGACCATGCTGACACAGCTGTAGGGAAGAAGCACCTCACCTGCTGTGTTGTGAGACCCTGGCCAGCAGGCCAGCTGCAGTAACATTCTGCTGGTATCGCTGGTTCATCTTCCGAATGGCATCCCTACCCACACCATGGCTGTTCCTCCTGGGGAGACAGGTCACTTTATCAACTCTGTGTTCATGTTGAATGTATTAATCTGACTTCCGTTAGAAAGGGAGTCCCTAAGGTTTCATATTCAATACACAAACATTTTTTTACGCCAGATGAAATGGCCCTTTAGTCAGTGTTTATGAAACTTCATCAACGTTACAGTTGTAAACTATTTCTCCATATAGCAACAAGTCTTGGTAGTTACAGAATTTTGCCATTTGTAGTAGGTGAGTTTAGTTTTATGTCGCTTTTAACATTATTCCAGCAATATCACAGCTGGGGACACCAGAAATGGGCTTCACACATTGTACTCACACGGGGAATCGAACCCGGGTCTTCTCCACGTGATGCAGGAAAGCTTTAACCACAAGGCTACCCCCACCACCATTTGTAACACACTTTACAGCTATCCAGGGTTAAAATGCACAAAGGAAGATGAAACATGGAAGACATGACTCACTTGGCTAGAACTTTGGGGTGGAACTTCCAGGGTGTGCTGGGTTCTAGTACCTCCACATCATATCCTCGGGCCACTGCCTGCCACAACATAGTTATATCGTTCCTGAAGCTGTCACTCAGGTCACATGTATGTAGACTCACTGTTTGACATCTTAATTCACAGTTGAAAACGGTGAGTAATTATCAACAATTAATGTACAATTAAACTAAACAGCATATTTTATGGAGAGATATTTGCAAGAGTGTGGTGATCTCACCATCTTGACATAGGGCAACATCTCCCAATCCATGGTGTTGGTGTTGTCAATGATCACAGGGCTCACATGTCTCTCCATAGCATCACATGCTGCAACAAACAGAGTCAATGGCAGTTGGCGTCTTCAACAAGCATGTCGCACTGACAACCTACTTTGCTCTCAAAGTCTTTCTTATGATGACGTATGCCATACACTTTAATACCAAGAAAATGAATGCTTTTCAAACTTGTCAAACGTGTTATGTGAAACGTTTTTGAAACTGTAACTCACATATGGTTTATATATCACTTTGATACGTACAATTTCAAACATATTTTAATTCTTTCTGGGTTGTTTTGCTAAGAATCTCCTGATCTGCATCAGTTACAATCGTGATAATGTTGTGTACCTCTTTGTTTGTTCCAGGTGTGAGCTTCGGTCAGCTGGTCCTGGTTGTATCGGTACTCTCCACACCGGAGGAAGTAGTCGTCAGTGGACAAGATGACTCCATCAAACACAATCTCCCTGAAACACAATACAGGAATTCATTTGCTTTAGTAAAACTTTGTCTTGAGTGTAGTTCAGCTAATTTGTTACCAAACTTTCATCTATATTAGGATGAGTTTTCTTTAATAAATATCATGTTTTCACTTTACTCAAACATCAACATTAAGTCAAATATATATGCACTTTGAAGGATAAATGCTAGTATTTCCTGCAAGTATTCACTGCAATCATTAAGGAAGCTTTGGTAATATTTTATTTTTAATTACAAAAGTAAGTTGAACACAGGAACTGGTGATAATATACTGAACACTGGAAGGAAACCAGTGTTTTGACAATCTCACCCAGCAAGGTATGACTTCCCACTGCCTGGTAATCCCCTGAGGAGCACCAGGAGTTGCCTCCCCTTGACCATGTATGTCTTCACTAGCTCAATCTGCTGTGCACAGGATATAATTTGGTTGTTACTGGCTGGCATGGAACGTGAGGTAGACAGTGTTACCCTGGCTGGAGTTAGTGCCGGCTTGGCTGCTGCCTTAGAGTAAATCATCTGATCATTAGTGCTGCCTTGTGTTTGACTGACTGGTCCTCTCCCTGGCATTGTTGGAAAGTGGTCTGATGATGGAGGTGGTGGAATGGTCTGAAGTGCCGACCCTGAGAATTTGTAAGGATTCCGTGCTGCCATGGATGTTAGACTTAGAGGCTGAAGGGGCTTAGGTTGTGTGGCCTGAGTGCTTGGCCTCTGCCACCTTGAATGTAGAGAACTGTATGGATTATGTTTGGGTGGTAGGCGACTTTGTGGATCCGGCGGCCCTTTTGGGGTCATGAAGATAGGATTTCCTTCTAGTTCCCTAGGCAGGCACCACGTGTTCAGGGGATTCCTGTTGATGCCTGGAGGAGGAGGAACAGATGCAAACCTGGGTACAAACTCAGGTGCTTCTGCTGATAAGGGGAATAGCAATTAAATCTGAAGCTCCTTTGTCTTGACTCTCTGGTCTATTGTGTGATGTAGAAAACATACTTCCATCAGATTCACTCACACCTGTTTCACAGGTGTCTCTTGATGAACTGTCTTCATCTGTATGTGCACCAGTTCTTGGATACGAATCTGTCAAATGTTTCTGTGAATGACCAGAAGTGTTTGAATTACCTCCCTTGGATTTGGAAGACACTCTTCCTGAATCTTGCACTGAAATGAACTGTCCTTTCAATGGACCAAAAGTATCCATTTGACTTATTCTGGTATCTCCTACCACGGATGCGTGTACACCTTTGAGTCCAAGGCTTGCAGCCTCACTATCATGCAGGCGGAGTGTATGTGGGGCTGTGTCAACACACTGCTTATCTGATGGACAGCTGTCACCATTCCCACCACGTTTATTACTGCTCTTTAAACATACTGGATCAAGTAGACCGATGTTTGAAATTCCACTTGTTGGTGATGAAATCTCTGTATCACCTTCAACAGATTGGGAAAGTGATGAATTTTTAGTTTGTGAATTTTTCAAAAATTCCTCCTTTAATTGAATAGATTCCATGATCTCTGGGACATATGTTCCGTAGACATTATACATGTCCATATAAGTCTGATACTCTACATCGGACACACCCATAGGGAATGATTGGGTTTTGGATGTCAACTGGTCTTGCACTGATTTTTCTTCTCCCGTCCCCGGTCTGGGAAGACTTCCACTCAAAACAATTTCAGCAGGGTCTATGTTTTCCAACGGTTGTAAAACGGGCTTATTATTTTTTGTTACTTGTTTTTTTCTCATAAAAGTTGTTAAAAAAGGTTGCTGTTCACTTTCAACTTCACCAATAAGGCTGCATGCTATGACATCTAGATCAGTGTCTTTGGACACATCTTTCTTCTCCAGTTGCTCATTCTGGCTCATGGCAAACAGCGTCTCGATAGCTTCATCAACTGAAGTAATACAAACACATATACATTCTTCAATATGACGTAACATGTAGCCATTGTACTTATCACATTTGTATCAGATTCTATACATGTTTGAAGATAGCAACTGATTGAAACATAACTACAAAACGGTACAAAATCATAAAATGGGTGAAAATACAAGTCTCTTTTCATTACAGCTTTCACCTAAGTGAGAAATACAATTCCTGATTTCTTGATCTTCAACTTGATTTTTCTAGATGTTGTTACTGACTATTGTTCTGTCTGACAACTTATGCCAACTTTTAATGTCTTTTAGTATCATGTTGAGGGCATCGCCAGTCTCCACTCTACTGTCTACAGCATCATGGTGGCAGTCAGTGACATGACGAACCTGGAGTGTTTCTGATCAGTAGTCAGAAGCTTTGGAACCCAGCATTCTTTGTCCTTTGTCTTGCCCAGTTCATTTGTCAGAATATTCTCCACTCTCTCATGTCAGATGACTACTATACTGGCTTTGTGACATGATGAGATGTTGATCAACCATAACCATATCACAATGTCATCAACATCATCATGATTTAGGAATCCTAATTGTGTGAAGTACAGGCCATGACTAAATTCATAGAACACTTGTAATGATATGGGCTTCAGGGAAATACATGTGTATTAATCCTTGATTAAAACTTGATAACTCTTAATGGTTCAGTTAACACAATCACACACACAAATGCTGTACATACAACTGACAAATGCTGACATTCTACATTTTTTTCAGCGCATCTTACCTCTCCATTTACACTCCGTTAAAACAAGGTGGACAACTTCAGGATCAATAGTATCTTGGAACATTTCCTGTATCTCTTGGTAGAGTCCGTCTCTTTCCATTCTTTTAGTTTCACTGAGGTTGTCAGTTCCGGCTTTAGTTGATATTTTCTTGGGGCTTGAACTACGATTTCGGGTAGATCTTGGCATTTTCAATTCAATTTCCAAAACTTGTAAAAAAAAAAGAAAGAAAATATCTGTGATCAGAATGGGTGGAGTTAATCAGCAGGTTTTATCACGCTAGTAAGTATCTGGGTACAGAGACTGACGGTAAAACAAATGCGAACAAGGCAAGGGTGGGGTGACATTGGGTTAGAACGTCTTGGGTATGTGTCTTCTGTTGTTGATTGGGAATTATTTTACACGTAACCTTCTTACAACACCATTATTGTCATCTTGGGTCCGAGTATTTACGTTCACACATTTGCGCATAACACCTGCGCAGATTTGCCTGAGGATTCGATGTTACGCTAAACACGATTGGTCATCATGTGCCCACTGCGCGAAGTTTTGCAGAGGGCATTATTGTCTTTATCGGTAACAGTAACTGCTGCATGTTTTTATCTATACATCGGATCAAATATTTACTTTCAAATTTTACCAAGTATGTAACACACGCACACTGACATTTTAGAATCTTGAAACGAAATCAATTACATCCAGGAAGTGTTTGCCGACAGCCGACCAATCAAGAACTCTGTTTCTAAAGTCCTTGAAATGGGCTTACGAAGGAAAGGCTAGCCTTTCGCGCCGTTTCCTGCCGAAGCTGTCGGTTTGGATAAAAATAATACTTTTCACAACATAACACAACACAATCAAGGTGGTTTGATTTAACGTTCAAACTTTGTTTCCGTTGCTCTCATTGAATTGGGCATTTGAAGCTCATTTCATCGGATTTTCAGGTAAGTTTGTGCAGAGATGTGTCTCACAGGTTTGCACTGAATCCATCATGGCCGCTTCACCCACAATCTTTGTGTTGAAAAACTCTTCATAAAAACATGCCATCCTTAACAAGTAGTTATTGTTTGAATCCAACATGTAGTAAATACAATAAGGACAGCGTCGTAGAATATTTGTGCGTAGGTGTGTAGTGCGTATTTAATTTGGATGTACCCAAATGCGAACATTTTCCATGCACACTCCGACGTGAATTTCTTTTAGATCTAAATTACATTTTGATTGTGAACAGACAGACAACAGGGATATTGACAGACTGAAGAATTCCATCTTTCGGATTACCATTATTTGTATGTTCAGAGGGACTAATGTTGACTGGCTATTTTGTGTTGTTACCAATGTATTGCTCTTCACGATTCTTACGCGGAAGAGCACTGCGTGATTTTTTTTTCAAATACTGCATTTTGTGCTTAAATGAGACAAACTAATATTTTCAACAGCAGTTAAAGCTTTCAAATTATGCTCGAAGTATGTACTTGTTAGCACATAACGACCAGTAATGTGAAAGAGACGCCCGTAGCAGGCTGGAACAAGCTGAATTTATGTCTCTTTCTCATTGGTTGGTCAATAAGGCTTCAAGAGTAGTATCCCTTCAATTGAGCAGTGGATATTCTTGTGGACAGTCATTTTTCTCACAGATTTTCTTGATTTCCGTTAGCAACATTGAAATAATTTTTTTCTTCCTCATCACAATTTCTATTTCCAAAGCAGAATACATGACAGAAGGAATTGTGAAACAGCTTTAGTGTTTACTTAAGGATGTTATGGATTACCTGTTGTGTATGGCCTGAAGAGTTTTGTTGAATCTGAAATCCTTGCCTGCAAAGAATAAGAATAATCCCAAGTGCAAATAAGGGAAAGTTTATTATTAAAGTTTATTACAATTATGATGTTAAACACATATTGACCCGCAAAGGTCCGGGTTAGAATATTGATCTTCAGTAACCCACACTTGTCGTAAGAGGTGACTAACGGGATCAGGTGGTTAGGCTTGCTGACTTGGTTGACACATGTCATCGGTTCTCAATTGCGCAGATCTATGCTCATACTGTTGATCACTGGATTGTCTGGTCCAGACTCGATTATTTACAAATCGCTGGCATATAGCTGGAATATTGCTGAGTGCGGCGTAAAACTAAACTCACTTACTTTTCGTATCATTTTTACATTGTGTATGTATGTACATACGATTGATCATATTGATACAAAAAAATGGCATGTGTTGCCATTAGTTGTCACACTATCTTGACATCAGGGAGTCTGTTTCACCAGGGTCACTGCACATGTCAGAATCAATGACACACAGTGTAATTGAGCACTCTCCAGGGTCAGTTTGTTTTCATAAGTTGATCAAGAAGTTAATACTACTGCTGACCCAAGTGATTGCAATGTATATAATGGAAATTGTGGTGAATACCTAGCACTGGCTATTTATGCATTGGGCGGTGAGGTAGCCTAGTGGTTAGTGCATTCCCTCGTCACACAGAAGACTAGTGGTGGTCCGATTAATTGAAATAATCGAATATTATTGGTCGCAATGACTAAACGACCAAGCTGTCGATCATGTTTTCTCATAATCGAACACAAACAATTTTCGAACAATATATTTCACAAGGTTGGTTTTGTCTGTTACATTTCATAAATACTTTCCAAGTCATGATTGAATTTATCTTAAAGACTCCAGGAAATTTATGTTCCTGACATACTAGTCATCCTTTAAAGATTTGAAATTTGCAAATGCATTTTGTGCAGTTTGCCCCCAAAAATAACCCCAATGAACATGTTTTTTTTCTTTATTTCTTGTGCATTAACAAACAAAACCAGGAACATTTGATAAATGACGCTAACCAATTATTTTCGATGATTGATCGGTTGTAATGAACCAATCATCAGTTGTGAGATTTTAACTGATTCCCAACAATACAGAAGACCTGGGTTCGATTCCCCACATGAGTACAGAGTGTGAAGTCCACCTCTGGGGTCCCCTGCCGTGATATTGCTGGAATACATACTGCAGCAATTACCCATGTTTAAACGTATATTGACTTCCACACTGGAAAAAGTCGAAATGTCTTCAAATTCTTAAGAGTTGTCCATTTCACATGGCTATGGGATTGATTTGGAGCGTTTAGGTCCGTGTGTTAAATAATCAGGAGATATTCATAAAAAACAGGACACACTACTCAAACATGTTTTGCGTATGCAATCTTTATCAAAATCTTTGAGAATAATTAAGAACAAACAAGTACTTTATAAAGGTTGAGTTTGTATTTTTTGTATTAAAACCTACATTTTACTGATTATATTTATAGTTTTTAATAATTTTAACCTTTATGGATGCCTTATTCTCTTAAAATGCTTTTAAAAACTGCAGGAACAAAGAAGCTGAAATATGCCCTGCTTGTTCCCACTAGTGTGAATACCTCAGTTTAATGTGCAGGTGGTATGAATCTTATGTACTATAGCAAACGTAAAACTAAACTAAACTCGCTAAAACTACTATAGCAAACATATTGAAAGCACATATTGTCACAAAATATAATGTGTTTAGTCCTCGGTATTCTAAAATTGTTGGAATGTCATTGTCAATGCGGATAGCAACGTTTTACAAATGTCTTACCCAGGTGAGCTACATTGGCACAACAGTATTTCTTGGACAGTGATTGTCATCCATTATGTCTTTTAGCTTTAATTGAAAATTGACAATGATCGAGGAGTGTTTGTCAGATTGTGTTGTCTGTACAACTAACAGAAGACCGTGACTTTTCTAGACCTCACAATATTGGAAAAGTTGAATGTTGACAGTCTTGTTTTAGTAATAACATGGTGTAAAATATTTGCATTACCAATCTACTTAAACATGAAAATTAAACTGGTTTTGAATTGAGTTTTATGTGAACATGACGATTATGACAACAAGGATTAGGTTTAAACTGGTTTTGAATTGGGTTTTATGTGAACATGACGATTATGACAAAACAAGGATTAGGTTTTCTATTACTTTCAACCAAATGCAACATAATATGTAATGCAAGGCTGAGTCGTCTTACTGAATTTCTATTTGAAAGAAGCTCATTGATTCGTTTATGCTTCTCAACAATAGTTGAAACTTGACACCCACGTTATTGGTAATAATTGTGAGGAGTGGGGGTGGTTCTGTTCCGTTCCAATGCCATGCAGGTTGTTTGAACATGGTGTTGGTGACTTGGTGCATCGTCAAACACAAGAAACACGTGCATCAAGTCACATGACCACCTTAGCAATCACGTATGCATTGGAATGTTAACACAGACATTGTTAGACAGGAGAACGCATCCAAAGTGGAAGTTCAATACAAAGTCAAGTATATCACAACCACAAATCAGCAACATGAGTATGTCAAGGGCAGGCCTAGTGTTGGACAAACTGTTGCAGCAGTTGCACTGTATGCACATGCTCCAGGCTATTGTTACCAGACAACATACGCTGAGGTATGTAGCAAACGACACTGTTGTATTGTCCCAGGCTTGGGGCTCCATGTGTGACGTTGCATCAAGATGAAGTACAAATCAGCGTATGTTTTCTCTGCAACAAATTTGTGCAACCTCTTCTAGAATACCCATAACACTAAGATACTTGTAATATTAGTTCTAAATTTTAAACCGGGCCATACCTTGTAACTGCGTTGTTTTGGTGGGTAAAGCACACTGTACATCACATACATTTTGCTGCATGTTAGCATGTTAGCCATAGTTGGAACCGCATACATTGTATTTTAAAAGAATCATATGGACATTGCTTTGTCATGACAAGAGATTGATGTAGGATTAGCTGTCAAACGCCATTGCAATAAGATGCTGCTGCAATCCACTCTTCAATGTCAGTATTTTTACCTGGATGATACTCAGATAGCAGTATGATACTCAATTATTTTTATTAATAATGCACACACTTCTTCAATTATAGAATTTGATTGGACAAGTGTGAAGTTGAGTATAGTTTATCTGCTGCTAGGTACATGTTCATTGATTGGCTGAACATCTGGCACAGATACTTGGCATTGAGGCAGAAACTGACAAATTGACCAAAAACATGACAGGACTGAGATGAAATGGAAGTGATGGGGAATTATCACAGGTGGTGGTGGTGATAAGCACAATGTCAATATAACTAAAACAAAAAACACAAACAGCTCCATGCAAATTTGCCCAACACCTTGCAGATAAATTGTCCAAATCTTGTCAAAACCGAACAAGCCGCAGAGTTAAATTTCTTTTGAGCCAGGATGTTACTGTATTTCAAGTGTAGATGACATGGCCCTGGTTAACCAAATCTTGTCGTTGACACTGACTGTAGTCAGGGGTGGAAATAACATTAAAATTGATAGTGTACTCCGGTACAGTAGCACATGTAAAGTCACTTGCCCTGATAATTTTTCCACTATACCGACCGTTTTCTTGCTGAATTTTTAAATAAACAACATAATTAACATTGGAAAGGCAACTGGACACCGGTACAGTGTGATATACAAATTGCTTGCCCAGCAGAAAAAACACTGGACTCAGACGTTGGGCAGTGGGTTATTTCCACCCCTGTGTAAAACTCATAACATCCCTGTTACATTTAAATCCTAGGACTAAAGTGCTGGATGTCAAATAGAGGAATATAATGTTTGAAAATGAAATGCGTTTTTTTATCCTACTTGTTTTATAAAAAGTAAAATGTAATTGAATGGTCTAATGAGTGAGAATAGATGCTTTATCTTTTTGAATTTGGGCTTGTAACAAATGTGGGTCCTTTGTATTTGCAGATCAAACAGTTCTCTTTTTATGAGATATGCATGTAAGAAGATTGGTCACATGATTGAATTAAAGAAGAAATTGTGTTTGGATATATTTTAATCAGGGGTTGAAAATTGTTTCAAAACTCCACTGGACACAGGTCCTGTAAACTTTCAAAATCCACTTGACCAAATATTAAATTTTTAACAAATCCTGCACCACTTACTTTCGTGCACTTATTGCTTACGGCTTGAAAGGTGTGGCTTGCCAGACGATGTTAAAAGACGTAGAACTGCAATCACTTCCTGGTCTCGGCTGCTACTCGTCTGCGCATGCGTCACCAGAAGGTGACGTCAGCCACCTCAGATTATTGCTTTTCGCACGCCTCACTAGACGTGTGGGTTGCCAGCTGTTCCTTGTATCCTACGGGATTTGTTTTGTGTGTGCTTAATAAACTGACTTTGTGTGTATTATTATTTTTGTCCTCTACGAGAAGTGTAGGTATTATCTTTCACTTTCTCTTGTTATTTTCGTTCAGTAGTTCTGTTTAGTGATGTCGTTCGTTTATAACACGGTCCCGTCATCACTCTATCACTTCGCCAGTACAACACTTCGCCGTATTTGTAGTCGTCGTGTTTTATTTGGTTCAGGCTTATATACTATACCATATAATAGTGGTATATTTATTATGTCTGAATTATGGTCTCTTTATCATTCAGTTGTTTTGAGACTTTGTTCTCAATTATGCTGTTGTATTCATTACCATTGTATGTAATGTTTTTATGTGCGTTTACTGGGTTTTCTGCTTTATTGCAGATCCATGTACAGTGCAAGTTGTATACATTGTAGGGGTGGGAAGTCTCGTAAAGACCCTCATCCCCGATGTTTGAATTTTACCACTCACTGTTCCCTTGGCCATAAATGTGCCAGCTGCACTATTCTTTCACCCAAGAGTTTCTCTGTTTATCTCCAGGTTTCTAGGAAGCGCCGGGGACAACAGAGACGGAAGAATATGTCTTCTACTTCGACGCCGGTCTTGACGACCGCTACATCTACTTCCAGTGTTGCAGCGTCCACTGTTTCTCTGAGTGCGTCTGTCACCATGCCATCCAACACCTACCAGCCTCGGCGACAGTCTGTTCGGCATGCCAGAAACCCAGCGCCGTCTCATGGCAGGGGACGTGGTGCCAAACCTAGATCAGACAGGGCAGGATGTCAACGTCGCCGTGCTCCCGCCCAGGGCGACAGGCGTAGGGGCAAGTGAAGTGAGGGACATGTACGACTGGACACTCCCACCTCCAGTCGTCCCAGTTTATCCTACACCGGTAGGTGTGAGAATAGGGATCTTTTGGGAAAATTGGTCCATCCTAGAGGATCCATACGTCACAGATATATTGAGGCAGGAGTTTTGGCTCCCCCTCCTCTCCCCTCCTCTCCGATCCATCTCTGACGCTGTTCCCGCTCCGGCACAATCACTCCCAGATTCAACACGACCTTTTAGCGGAGAACATAGCGATTCTGTTGGAGAAAAGAGACGTCGAATTACTCCCGTATCCAGTCACAACACCAGGGTTTTATTCTCCAATATTCCGAGTGCAGAAGAAAGGGTCCACGAAAATGAGGATGATTCACAATCTGTCCTATTTCAACGAGACTTTCCTGGAACGTCCTCCGCACTTCCGAATGACGTCCCTCGAATACCTCAAATCTGTGGTATGCGTCAACGACTTCCTCATCAGCCTGGACCTGCAGGATGCATACCTCCATGTTCCAATACGCCCCAGCGACAGGAAGTACCTGCGCTTTATTTTCAACAATCAACATTTCCATTTGGCTGTCATCCCATTTGGAATTGCAATGGCCCTGTGGTTGTTCATGCGTATCACAACCCCTATTTCCCGGTATCTTCATTTGAGGGGCATCAATTTCGACCCATACCTGGACGATTGCCTTATGCACCTGTTAGACCGTCTGCTTCTTATACAACAACGGGATTTCACCCTCGTCTGTTCAGCTAGGTTGGCTGGTCAAATTGGACAAATCAGAGCTTGTCCTGTCTCACACTCTGACATTCATCGGAGGCCATTTCCAGACGGACAAGAACCTAGTTCAGATTCCTCTGGACAGGTGGGACAAGATTCAGTCTCTGATTCCACGTGGCGCTCTCCTAACCTGTCTCTTCGAGAGTGGCAGGCACTCCTTGGATTGTTGACGTCGGTGCAGGATCTTACCAGCAGATCCGGAAGCAAGGGTCGACACGTTCACAGTTTCTTCTCGATCAGACTTTTCAGCTCTTTCAACTGGTCGAGGATCTCCACATTCTGTTGAGAGTTCGGCATATTCCGGGGTGCCGTAATATACTAGCAGACGCTCTCTCGAGACTGACAGAGTTGCTCCCACAGAATGGATGCTACACAAGGAGGCCTTCATTCTCCTAAGTCACGCACTGGGTTCTCCAAACATAGATCTGTTTGCCACCAGCCAAAACCATCAATTGCCAGTGTATGTGTCCCCAGTCCCAAATCCAGCGGCTTGGGTGGTGGATGCTCTCAGCCTACCGTGGGAGGGGCTTCACGCGTATGTGTTTCCGCCACCAGTTCTACTACCCAAAGTTCTCGCAAAAGTCAAGGAGATCCCTTTCCTCTACCCTCGTGCACCCTCACAGCCATCTCCCGCATCCTGCTCCAGATCGGTTCAATCTGCATGCATGGACCATTTGCAGAAAGCACTGAGTGCTAAGGGGTTTTCGGCCAGAGCAGCCAAAGCCATTGCGACGGCGCACAGAACTTCTACTAGACACTTGTATGATGACAAGTGACAGTCGTTTGAACTATTTTGTGTTACCAGGAAGCAGGATCAGCTGAAAGTGTCTCCTCAGTTCATAGCAGACTTCCTACTTTATCTCCAGGCGTCTGAAGGGAGGCACCATTGCCACGTATTTGGAGGCAATTAGCTCAGTTTTAGCGGTTCCCACTGACAGAAGGATTTCCAAAATCCCAGAATTACAGGCCATGCTTCGTTCGTTCAGGCTTGAAGACCAGAAGTTGAAGTTTCATCCACTGTTTTAGACCATCTCCGTGGTGCACCTCATGAACCTCTTGAGAACGCTTCCCTTGCTGATTTATCCAGGAAGACGGCTTTTCTTTTGTCTTTAGCGACTGCGGCTAGAGTGAGTGAGGTTCACGCTCTTGACGTGACTAGGGTCAAGTTTGAACGTCATTGTCATGGTTCTGTGCATTTGGGTCTGTGTTGGGATTTCATCGCTAAAAACCAACTGCCAGGTCAACCTGATCGACAGTTTTCAATTCCGGCATTATCATCTATTGTTGGCACTGAAGACAATGCTGAATTGCTTTTATGCCCGATTCGTTCGCTCAAAACTTACATTGATTGCACCAAAGGCGTCCGTGGTACAAGGAAATGGTTCTTTCTTCCCCTATCCTGGGCGTCACAGTCAGATGTCAGCAAAAACACAATTGCCTTATGGTTAAGAACGACCATTCTTCAGGCATATAAAGCGTCTTGGCTGGACCCTCCTACGTCTTCTCATCCCCACGAGATTCGAGCACTTGCTTCGACTATGGCACTTCACAGTAATTGCACTGTGTCATCCATTATGCAAGGTTGTTTTGGTGGTCGGACACAGTTTTTGCCAGTCATTATTTGCGTGACATGGCTGTCAAGGACGTTAACGATGTCCACAGCTTCGGACCATTGGAGGTTGCTCAGCAACTCACCATTCCCCGAAGAAAGTGACCCTCCTGTCTTGTGTTTTCTTCCCTCAGACCACCATGTGGGGAATGAGTTGTTTTCTTCAGAAACAACTGGGTATGTCAGTTAAGGAGTTATCCTTGTATTTCAAGTCCATGCTTTTTACTGCATTCCTTAAGCTTCGCCAGCTTCAAAATTAGTGGTTTCTTTTCATTTAAGACTCGGTCTTATTACCAGCGCTTCCCGAGCACGGGATTTACGGATTGAGCTGGCTGCTATTACATAAGCTAGGCGATCCCTCAAATGACACGCCCACCTTCCAGCCTGTCGGATAAAAGTGCAGGAAGTAAGTAGTGCAGGATTAGTTAAAAATTAAGTAAAATCTAAATATTTTTTATATTTGTATACTTATCCTGCACTACTTATGATAAGGGCCCACCCTGCGCTATCAGCTACCTCCCAGCTTTGTTTGCCATCTGTGGGATTTCTGGCAATAATCTGAGGTGGCTGACGTCACCTTCTGGTGACGCATACGCAGACGAGTAGCAGCCGAGACCAGGAAGTGATTGCAGTTCTACGTCTTTTAACATCGTCTGGCAAGCCACACCTTTCGAGCCGTAAGCAATAAGTGCACGAAAGTAAGTGGTGCAGGATAAGTATACAAATATAAAAAATATTTACAATTTTACTAGTTTCACTTGACAATAATTGACAATTTTGGTTTTGTTATCAATTATAACAACAGACAATTGCATTTTTATTTCATCATCGAAATGCATACATCAATACATTTTAGTAGTTTGGCACTACTGTACCACGGTAAAGTTTAATGTGGATATTTACTTGACCGACCAGAGAATTCCACTCGACCCGGGCATCGGGCAATGGTATTTTTCAACCCATTTAATACTTTTGTTTTTCTGATTTCAGATGCCCAATCAAGATGGCTAAAGCGTTGAACAAAACTGTGAAGGTGTGTTACCCCCCTGGCTGCAAGGAGGTCAGCGAGGAAGTAGCCAAGGATGAACTTGTCAGAAGACTCAAGGTACTGCCCCAGTACTGCTTTGTGACATGATGCATGTGTTCCTGGGCTGCAGAGTTGGTTATTGTTAAATGTTTCAGATTGTTAAACTTTGCAGGTGCAAGAATGAAGCATACAACTTTATGGATGACAACTTATTCTTTATTGCACTATAGAGCAACATTTTGTTGTAGATTCTTACACCGTTATCAAGCTAAAGATAACTAACTACATAGAAACATCGCTCCTTGCAATAAACAAGAAGTTGTCATCCATAACGTTGTAGGGTTAATTATTGACTCACCAACTCCTAAAACCCCGATCAAACAATTTGCAGGTACGATCAAGTGATACTCATGTTTTCTCATGAAAACTGCCTTTGTAGGAAGTCTTAGGCAGACTAGGTTCCTGCCAAATCAGTTGGGTGATATGAAATGGCCAGAATGGTGATTCACTGATACAACTTGTAGTATGAGTTCTTTCTCCTGGTTCCAATTGTCAAAAGTACTATCTGAAACATTTATTTGCAGGGAATATTATGGTCTAATTAGAGGTTGTTTTGATTACAGCTGATACTGTATATAACAATGTGTTCAACATGTTAGTAATTCCTAGTGTGTGTCTGTGTGGTGCTCATGAGTCGCTGTTTGAGGCTTCCAGTGGTAAGGCAACAAATACAAGTTTTTGATGCATGTATCTATTAAGAATGAGAACAATTTTATGGATGTGCAACTTCTTTATTCTGTAAAGGCGACATAGATTCTAATGTCGTCAAGCAAGTGACTTGCACCACTTGATTAGTGTCATATTATCTTTCTCAGAATTCAGTTGACTACTAATTTTATGGTCAGACTACTAATTTTGATCCTTGAAACTACTAATTGCATCACTTTGAGGTTGGCATCTCTGAATGAGTGCAATCCACGTAGTACTGAGTCTTTGAATGGTATTTAGACATGATACACAGAAACACTAGGATTTATGAATGTTGACTTCAATATATTTGATGGACACAACATTTTGGAGGATATTCTTCCTCTTTATCATAGTAGTGATTCATTGGTACAGGTGTTATTGTGCAGACCATTGTACTTCTTTAGGTGATGTGTTCGGGCACAGAATGTCGAAGGATTGTTTTAGGGCTGAGTGTGGGATTATTTTGTTGCAATCAAAAGAAACGATTGTACAGGCGGACTACACATCTGTAATTCAGAATGATTTATTTCATGCTAAAATATAACATCTTTCTTACTTCGTTTTCATTTGTTCTCCTGTCAAGGAATATCATGACAATGCAGTGGACTATTTACTTGAACTGAATGCTTTTGCTAAATGAAACCTTTGAAGCTGTTGATGACCAGAGTTGGGTTTAGTTTGGGATTTTCATGCTTAATACCATTGTCAAATATCACAGCGAAGTCTTATTTCCTCAAATCATGAGTGAAATGAGATTCTACACTAACATATTTTAGGTCCCACCCTCTTTACCTCTTTTCTAGCCTGTCTCACAGGTCTAAACCATATTACTTTCCCTAATGCCTAGTCCTCCATGCAATGCTAAAGCCCTAAACGAAGCAAGTTGTTTCTCTAGGTTCCTTTTCAATTTAAATGGGTTTATTTGTTACTATCAAAATAATATATATTCAGGGACTAAGCATTAGTCTACCTCATTTCAAATACTTTACTGTGTGTTGTTGTCGTAAAGCTTAGTTGAATTTTGCTTCTTTTTTATTTTTAATATGCTGTGAATGGTGTTGTGATGAATATGGCCTAGACATTTAGCGAATCAGACTGTGTGACTTAGCAGAAGCACTAAAAGGGAGGTAACACTTCATCCATTATTGATATGATTACATATGCAGATTACTGTGTGTCCATAGCACATATATATTACATATTCACTTCCTTCTAGTGTTTATTTCACAGTTGATAAAACAACCATTAGAAGTAACAATAAATATTAGTTAACTTTTTATTGATACGTGTGTCACAAAGTAAAATTTCATGATGATGCACTGCTGTATGATCCCAGTTCAGTTTGTGCTCGGGATGGCAGGGATAGAGTTCTCTGTATCCAGACAGTGCAGGTAACTTGTAAAGTTGCACCCATTGCATGTAACATTTTCCACCAAGTACATGCTTGAAGTGTAGAAGTTACACTTATTAGACACATCTTTTGTATCAGGTGAATCAATTACTTGAAGTTATAGATGTTAGCAAGACTGCGTCAGAGGTACAGATAACCCGCGTATCTGCGTAAATTATGCAAATATTTATGTGAAAACTCGATTCCCATTATGTCTATTGCGTACAAGTACGCTTGAATTTTTGTAAATACTCAATAAATGTGATCTTACATGCGTACACATAAAAATGTCAAATCTTAGCTTGCGTACCGGTGGATAGATAATATAACTGAGGTATATTGAGAGGTTCTATTTTAGGTCATGAACTTGACAACTTGCAGTCTTTCTTATCGTTTCTCACATTACAGATCAAATATAAATAACAAACACATTTAAACTTTATTACTTTTTTTACGGTTAATAGAAAATGGCAAATACCAAGTTAAGTTTGAGGTGAGTACAATATATTTGGTTACTCAAAGGAAAATTTGGATACCCAATTGGGATGAACACAAGCGAGTACATAACTGAATGACCAAAAGTTATCTGTAGCTCTACTGCTTTCATTATCATAGACCAGTTACGTAGACCACAGACTGTGTACACAATCTTAGGACATTTCATGGAAGGTCAGAGGTTATTGTGTTATAGATAACTTGTAATGATAGAAAAACTGATTTTGCGACTAGCATTCAAGATAAGAAGAAATGAAAAATATGGATGTTAATTAGGGCTGTAACGATGCATCAAACTATCAACTGATTGCAATTGTTGAGTCACCGATAGCAATTAATTGATGAACGAAAAAGCTATCGATGCATTGATAGTATGTGTGACTATCGATAGCCTTCTGTTGATAATGCGCAGCACAAAATACAGGAAGTAACAGATTCATTCACTTTGATTTAGAGTTATCCGCCCCTGTTACCTCTTGAACAAACATGATTGTTTACTGATCTGGGGTTCAAATTTCTTGCCAGTTATCAAAAGAAACTAACACTACTTCAACTTGTTTTTGATTTCATATTAACTATACATTCATTTGGGAAATGACTTCAAATGAGACAATTCAAGGAGAAAAAACTATTGCAATAGTATTGTAATAGTTAGTTGCACTATACTATCGCTATCGCTATCGCAATAGTATGTTGCAGACTATCACTATTGCAATAGTTGTTTCCCCCTCAATAGTCATCCCTAATGTCAGTGTCATTTAAAAAGCAACCATGTATCCTAAAATTCCTTCAGATATGCAGTAGTGTGAGCTTGGGCTTCAGCAATAGGATTGTTGATAACATGGTGAAGCCGATGTTTTGAAATCACTTGATTGCACTTGGTGCATGTAGTAAAAAAAATTGAACAAATGAAATCGTACCCCGGACAGATAAATCCCTTATTGAATTGGCCAGTATCAACGGTTAGCTGGTACTTTGGTCAAGTGAACTTAAAACCCACACAAAATGATGATGAAAAGTTATTCATTGCTTGAATCATCACACCGAAGACCCGGGTTCAAATCCCCTCATGGGTACAATGTGTGAAGCCCATTTCTGGTGTCCCCTGCCGTGATGTTGCTGGAATATTGCTAAAAGCGGCGTAAAACCAAACTCAGTCAGTCAGTCATTGCTTGAAATTTGATAATACCCAATTATCAATGTGAGTACTGTTAACACTTACCACTTGAGGTGAGACAAGCAATGTGGTTGTGTGGATCAGTTGTTCCCAGGGTGTGACATATGTTGTTGTTGCCTTGTGTTGCAGCTCCTGGCCCGGGCATTCCAGGACATGGGTCAGGACGACAATGACCAGTATGCTGGACTGGCCCTCATGCTGGCCACAGATTTCTACCTGGACCACCAGAACAAAGATGTCCGACTACTTGTGGCATGCTGCATTGCTGATGTCTTTAGAATATTTGCTCCAGAAGCCCCATACAAAGATCAAGATCATCTGAAGGTGGGTTGAACTGTGTTCAACTGGGCTCTTACAATACATGTTTCAAGGTCAACTGGAGTACTGTGGAGCACTGATACACAACATTGAGTGTTGTACGATACACAGTATACTTGTATTTAGAGGGGACTGTTGGGGCTTTTTCAATGCTGTGATTGTAATGCAACAGTACTTAACATGAAAACTTTCAAATTCATGTGTCTTTTTATGCCTAATGCTTATTGAGACTTGTGAAAGTTTCCATTGTTGTGTGCTATGAACAAATTGCCCCGTATAAACTTCTGTCTATATAGTGTACTCAGGGCACACGATTGCAGGAAATCCATGGTTTACTTTGTTGTTACAACTTTACTTGTATTTTGATACCAGTGAAATGATATTGTGGTTGTATTCTGAAGAGATTGTTTATGTGTATTTGTTTTGTCTATGATTGGCAGCGATATGCTGTTTTTTTAAAGTAATGTTGATATGCTGTTTTGAGACAGGAACTGATGTTGATATGCTGTTTTGAGACAGGAACTGATGTTGATATGCTGTTTTGAGAAAGGAACTGATGTTGATATGCTGTTTTGAGACAGGAACTGATGTTGATATGCTGTGTTGAGACAGGAACTGATGTTGATATGCTGTTTTGAGACAGGAACTGATGTTGATATGCTGTTTTGAGACAGGAACTGATGTTGATATGCTGTTTTGAGACAGGAAGTGATGATGGCATGTTTTTGTGTTTGAGACAGGAAGTGATGTTGACATGTTTGGTGTTTGATGTTTCCAGACAGGAAGTGATATTGACATGCTGGTGTTTGATGTTTGTCTGAGACAGGAAGTGATGATATGTTTGGTGTTTGATGTTTGAGACAGGAAGTGATGTTGACATGCTGGTGTTAGAGACAGGAAGTTATGTTGACATGCTGGTGTTTGAAACAGGAAGTGATGTTGACATGCTGGTGTTGCAGGAGATTTTCCTGTTCCTGATCAAGCAGCTGAGGGGGTTGGAGGATCCTGAAGCTCCATCTTTCAAAAGATATTTCTATTTATTGGAAGTAAGTTATACATTCAGTAACACATTTCCACTTCCATGTTTTTAAGGCAAGTAAACTGTTATACCTGGTGACACCCAACACCTGGTGGTAAATAACACCTAACACCTGGTGGTAAGTAATGTGAGACCTGGTTCCACAGTTTGTTCGATAAGATTTCAGAAACTGCAAAGCAGATAAGTTTTTTTTTCTCTGGAAATTTGTATTGGGATGTTTCTATTTTGGCACCTCATGAAATGATATACAAATAGATGTATTATTGGTAGCGGCACAGGTAATTTTTAGCTTTATGTTTCCTCAACTGGAAACAAGACTTCATTTGTGTGATATAGCACAAAATGGTCCTGAGAGGAATGATTACATGTGTGATATCCTTCTCATCATTCACTATTGTCATTGACTGTGGCTGAAACATTCCTTGCATGAATGATTCTATGTGATACCCTTCACATCGTACATTTTTGTCTGAAACTTTCATTAGCTTCCATGAGTCGCCTGGTTCATACCACAATCAGTCATTGTTACTTGTTTGTATTTCCCCCACTACAGTGATGTGTTATGTTGACAGAACCTGGCCTGGGTGAAGTCCTTCAACATCTGCATTGAGCTGGATGACAACCAGGAGATATTCTGCTCCCTCTTCAAACTCATGTTTTCCATAGTCAGGTAATGTTAATATTGTGCCCCTCAGTTCATGTCCAATGTTCCCTGCTTTATACATTGACTATTCATCTGCCAACCTAGTAACATTGTCCATTCACATCTGGCAACCTAGTAACATTGTCCATTCACATCTGGCAACCTAGTAACATTGTCCATTCACATCTGGCAACCTAGTAAAATTACCTTCAGCTTTGAAAAAATTGACGATTAGGGAGTTCATAATTTTCTTGGTAACAATTGATAATTGTGATGGTTTCAAAAAGTTTTTGTTATAATATTATGTTGTATCCCATCAGAGATGAAATGTGAAGGAATAATGTGTGCTTGTAATGAGGGTCAAAGTTGGCCAGGGCCTTGTCTGTGGTGCAGCAGTGACCTTCTCCAACCATTTGCAGCGACAAGCATTCCAGCAAGGTGAAGAACTTCATGTTGGACATGATGACGCCACTTATAGCTGAGGCTGACACAGTGTCGCAAGAACTGTTGGATGTGGTCCTCATCAACATAGTAGAACCTCAGAAGGTGGGTCCTTGTCTACATAGTAGAGCCTTAGAAGGTGGGTCCTTGTCTACATAGTAGAACCTCAGAAGGTGGGTCCTTGTCTACATAGTAGAGCCTCAGAAGGTTGGTCCTTGTTTACATAGTAGAGCCTCAGAAGGTGGGTCCTTGTCTACATAGTAGAGCCTCAGAAGGTGGGTCCTTGTCTACATAGTAGAGCCTCAGAAGGTGGGTTCTTGTCTACATAGTAGAGCCTCAGAAGGTGGGTCCTTCTTTACGTAGTAAAACCTGAGAAGATTTTCATTGTCTACATTGTAGAGCTTTAGGGTTGTAAGTGTTCAAGAAAAGAGGTAAATATGTTGCCTACATTTTCAGAAATAGAATCCTTGTGTTTCAGTCGCAGAACAAACATGCCTATGCCTTGGCGAAGGACCTCTTGAGGAGAACCAGTAACGCCATCGAACCATACATTCAGGCAGTAAGTCAATACAGATTTGCTACTGTTCATCATATGAAAGGACTTACATCAGTATCCTTAACAAGCAGCTTGGATTATCAGGGGTGATAATAATCAGATTGTTTGGGCGCTTGAAGTATGCATTGTGCATGGAACAATGCGCATGATAAATGGACTGTTATTATTATTATTATTATTGTGTAGTATGTACTTGGAGTTTTCGATTTCCTTTAGCCAGCTTTTGTGAAGACATGAAGCACTGTTTTATGGTGTGGGAGGTGTATCCCATTGTGTCATCTCTGAAGAATGGAGAATCTGTATTTCAGTTCTTTAACAACACGCTGATGCTGGGGAAGACCTCGGAGAGTGAGGTGTCGGATCACCTCTATGATCTCATCTATGAGCTGAACCAAGTGTCTCCCAATGTACTGCTGGCTGTCCTACCACAGCTGGAGTTTAAACTCAAGGTAAGCCCTCACCAGCCTTCCACAGCTGGAGTTTAGAGGTAAGCCTTGACCAGAATTTCACAGTTAGTGTTTCAAATTCAAAAGTAAACCCTTCTGCAAGTTATTCTGCAGCTCTGAATCAGCAAATTGATTTTCATGGTGAAAAAAGAAAAACACATTGATAAACTTCTAGAACTTGGTCCCAACAATGTTTGTTGTTGGTCGTGAAGACTAGCCACAACTCCAAACTAACTAGTTGCTGATTGTTTGCAGAGTAATGAAGAACATGAGCGAAAACATGTGACAAAATTACTGGCAAAGATGTTCTCTGAACCTGGATCGGACCTGGCCAACCAGAACAAACCACTGTGGTACTGCTTCCTTGGCAGGTATGTCAAACACTCAGTCATTACATTCAAACAGCATCCAGCACAAATGTCTGTTGTTTGTGAGACTCTTGGTCATCACATTCAAACAGCATCCAGCACAAATGTCAGTTGTTTGTGAGACTCTTGGTCATCACATTCAAACAGCATCCAGCACAAATGTCTGTTGTTGTTTGTGAGATTCTTGGTCATCACATTCAAACAGCATCCAGCACAAATGTCTGTTGTTGTTTGTGAGATTCTTGGTCATCACATTCAAACAGCATCCAGCACAAATGTCTGTTGTTGTTTGTGAGATTCTTGGTCATCACATTCAAACAGCATCCAGCACAAATATGTCTTGTTGTTTGTGAGACTCTTTGTTGTTTGTGAGACTCTTGGTCATCACATTCAAACAGCATCCAGCACAAATGTCTATTGTTTGTTTGAGACTCTTGGTCATCACATTCAAACAGCATCCAGCACAAATGTCGGTTGTTTGTGAGATTCTTGGTCATCACATTCAAACAGCATCCAGCACAAATGTCTGTTGTTTGTGAGACTCTTGGTCATCACATTCAAACAGCATCCAGCACAAATGTTTGTTGTTTGTGAGACTCTTGGTCATCACATTCAAACAGCATCCAGCACAAATGTCGGTTGTTTGTGAGATTCTTGGTCATCACATTCAAACAGCATCCAGCACAAATGTCTGTTGTTTGTGAGACTCTTGGTCATCACATTCAAACAGCATCCAGCACAAATGTCTGTTGTTGTTTGTGAGATTCTTGGTCATCACATTCAAACAGCATCCAGCACAAATCGAGGGGTTAGAGCCAGAACCACTTATAACCACACAGGCACATTTCGAGAAACAGCACTCAAATGTTTGGACAGTTATAAAAAAAATAATAATCAATTATTGTTTACTGTTTTGTGACAAGGTGACAGAGTATGCTGGTGCATTCATGTTACTATACAACCATAAATATAATCAGCCTAATTAAATAGGTATGACGAAAATAAACTCTAGCTTGTTCTGGCGTAAATGTAAAACACTCGGGGCTCTGTAAACATGAGAGCGAGAACCAGTTAAATTAGAAACACAGTGTATGGCAGTTAAGAATATGTTGAGAATATGTCTGTCCCGAGTCAAGAATCCGGTTATCTTTAAACAGGGGATTGTGGCATAGTTTTAACCCTTTCAACACACGCAGGCTAATCGGCCACGATTTCCCAGGCAGTGTGTCGCAGTTTCCACTAACTTTTCGAGAATTAAAATTATAAACTATTTTTCGCAGTTATTGAAAATTATCTTTGCCCCAACAATTGTATCAATCTATTTCCATCTTTTGGGAAGCCAACTAAAAGCAATGACCCCTGATCTCAAGATCACCCATATCATCACAGCAGCCAACCACTGTTTCCTCTAAGCCCTGTAACCATATCCTGTATGGCGCGGTAAAGCTGTTTAGACAAGCAGTATCCCACATTCTCAGCTGGTGGCTGGAACCATTAACCAGCAGAAACTGCCTTTCTGTTATTGAATGCATTTTACTTATAGCTTTCATATTTATCAACAGCCTTAGATAAATTGTGCTTGTGAGATTTTATCTTCACATGTTGTTATCACTGAAGACATCAGTAATTGCTTAAACCACCTTCAAGACTTTCTTTTAGACTTTTTCTGTTAGATGACAACAAGCGTCTCAATACTTTCAACATAGTTCCACAATGCATCATTACCGTGTACTTCTTTATTGAAGAATAAAACCAATTACTATAAGACATTGTAAGTGTTTCAGTATTTTTAACTATTTCAATATTATATTACATGTAAACAGAAATTCATAAACAGTATAGTTTCAAATTACTGAATAGAAGAAAATCAAGCACAGTCACAAACATACACATAATACGCAACCACAGATAAGCTCATTGCATATTAAGTCAAATTAGGGATAAATGTAGCGATCTGAGTAATAATTTAAGCGGCTTGGTATATAAAAGTATCTTACCCGAGTGTCTTTTGATATCAAATATATCACCCGCGAGTTGATAAAAGTAACAAATGTCCGAGGCTTGCCGATATTTTACTTTGATCAGCGAGTGTTTATATATTGATATCAGAAGACACGAGGGTGAGATTCTATTATCATCAAAATCACTCTTCCTTAGCTTTCAATGAAAAATGTACATCTCTGAACACAGTACTGCCATTGAACTTCGCGAGTGCAGCGATGTCATAGCAATGTGGCGTCATCAAGTTCATGGCGTCATATCATTGTCAGGGCATTGTGCAAAATTTACTCTCAAAGCGATATGTCCTAGGAGATATCGTCTGATCTCCACACAAGCAATGTCTCCTGTGGAACACAGTTTTGGATGATAAAACTTAATAGAACTATGACACTAGACTATGACATAGATGAAGGCTAAAGACTTTTGATACTAAAAATTAAGTCTGTTATAAGTGAATCAAGATTACATCACACAGATTAGATAGAACACTGAATAATCACATTAGGTATTTGATGACATAGATATGTCATGTTAGATATGTGACATGTTAGATATAATAATGAGTCATTATTTCCTTTTCGTTAATGATTTGATGGCGTCTCAAAATGTAAATGTCATTTTTTGAATTGAGAATTAATATTGATATCCACCTCTTAACACTATTTCATACTCTTTAAAGGTCACATGCAGCGTAAAACACAACTTTGCAGATTCTGATACCTTTCGGTATGGACTTACGAAACAAATCGTCAAAATGCAAATTCAACTTATAAAGTTGAAAAATAACGCGATGAAAAAAAAAACGAAATCAGAGTTCAAATGTTTCACTAATTTTCCCCGACTTTTCTGGGGAAAGCGGGTTTAAACAGCTGGGCTGCGCTCATAGCACGTCGCGCAGTGTGAAATAGGTTCACGCAGCTTGGAAGCGGGTTGTCCGGTGAATACTTTCGGTGAAGGCTTTGGTGTGAGCTATTTTTCTAATGTTTTGTTGATATCTCACAGGCTGAGCTTTTTATATGTTATGACAGTAAATTAACTGTTTATATAATTTCACCACACGTTCTTCTTACCGAGTCACTTTCTCAGTTCGATACTTATTTAGCGTTGACAGAATTTCTAACTGTGATATAGATATGTCGTTGTCACAGACAAAACTCAATGTCTTGCTTTATTGACACCTGTGTGTCTGCCTGCCTGTCTGCTAATGGCAATATTTAATACACAGCTGCTATCACTGACCACATGCAATTTGAACTTAACACCAATCAGGCTATACACCATAAACAAAATGCATTGATTTATTGCCCGAGTTCGGTCTCTGTCATATTATGTAATTACACAGACAGGCAGGTGTGATAGTTGAACACTTGACATGTTATGATGTCTGTTGATTGTAAAATGTTATACACAAAAATGAGCATGTATTTACAAAACCCAACATCTCTACATAAACACACACAATAAGCCGTGAGGGCATATGCCAAATGAACCAGCCGTTACACTTGAGTGCACACCCACCCGCTCAGACTGGGTTCAGTATCCCGCTGCTTTGTTTCTTGGGAAGTAAACTGAAGTACACAATATTGCACTTTTGATTTCGCGATTATGCGGCTTATAATTTTGTTTATATGTTTTTCATAACCAGCAATGTATATTATATGTCACGAATAAGTGATAATTGTGTTTAAATTATGTTTGATTTTTTGGTTGCATGTGACCTTTAAACTTGTTAAATAACTTATAGGAAAAGGTTTACATAACTATGTGGCCTGGTGGAAAAAAGTGATTTGTGTGAAATATGTGTGCAAGTTAAATTTGCAAAATGAGGAAATATATAGCAGAACACTTTACAGTAAATGAGGAGTCAGGAAATAATACAACATAACATGTTCTTGGAAACATGGCATGCCATTTGAATGAAAGTGACTAAGAAATATATAAAACCAGACTATGACACTATGATTATTACACTATCCTCACCCATGTCCACAATCATATTATAACTTACACCATGTAATAGCACAAAGCAACGACTGTTGTTTCAGTGTCGTAGCTTTAGTCTGTATCGGTTGTCTGTATCCTGCTCCAAAGCCAGGAAGGGGAGGCATTCTACTTTGTCAGCATCTGTCAGGAGTTCTTTGTAATAGTTGTGATACTCTCTGGGTATAATACCGGACCGACAGAGTGACATGAGATCTTTTTTCTTGGCTGAGGAAATTGCTTGTTTTCCCGAGTACCTTCGGATCAGAGGTTCACAGATACTCTGAGGTCTTCCCCGGCGGCTGCCTGTAGACACTTTCAGTTCTCTGAATGGCTCATTGCTGTGCTCAGTCTTGAAGAAGATGCTTTCTGGGTTGCCTTTAATGTAGCGCATCCAGCACATTGACAACCAGTTCACACGACCACCATCTGTATCAATTTTGGTGTTTTTCAGTCTACCATGGGCATATTTCTTAAGGTCCATCACATCGGTGAACTGTATTGGGATGACAATATAAGGGTCCTTTCTTCTGGCCATTCTTATAACAGTGTCCCACTGGCTTGGTACCTAGATGCTAGTCTTCTTTTTGGCAAATTCAATGGTGGAATGAATTGCATCGCACTCCATCTGTGTGTGGCCTGGCTCTAGAAATTTGTGGTCAATTGTACTGATGTGTTCAATAGTGGTCACAGCATGTAATAGGGAGGCTGCAACATACTGGTTTCTGTTCTGTCCTGAACAGGTATCTGAATACAGAACTACATGCTTGACGGTTGGTGGCAAAGCCTTCAGCTGAATTTGCAGGCATGATGCAACTTCACATGATCCCCTCTTGGCATCCACTTCCGACCATACAAAGCATGTGCCTCCTTTTGTGGCTAAATCGTACACTGTAAAATTGTAACAGTTCAATTTCCTCATGTAGAAAAGTTCACTGACAAGTGAGCATGGTGTATACATGGAGTAAAACTCTGAGTCTGATGAATCAAGTGCGGTTTTATCTGGATCATATTCTTCACCTGACGATAATGCTGGGTCGTTGTCAGGGACCAGTCCTTTCCTACTCCTTAGTGTTGACAATAGTTCATTATCAGAACTGTCAAAGTCACTGTCACTATCCCTCAGAGATGATGTTCCTCCACGCCCATAACTCTCTACTAATACGTCTGTAGGCGCATCACTCTGTGGTGGTATGTCTATAGGCGTACCAGACTGCACTTGTATGTATATAGGGGCATCACTCTGTTCTGGTATGTCTATAGGTGCATCACCCTGTACTTGTATGTCTATAGGTGCATCATTCTGTTTTGGTATGTCTATAGACGCATCAGACTGCACTTGTATGTCTATAGGTGCATCATTCTGTTCTGGTATGTCTATAGACGCATCAGACTGTACTTGTATGTCTATAGGTGCATCATTCTGTGCTGGTATGTCTATAGGTGCATCACCCTGTACTTGTATGTCTATAGGTGCATCATTCTGTTCTGGTATGTCTATAGGCATCAGACTGTACTTGTATGTCTATAGGTGCATCATTCTGTGCTGGTATGTCTATAGGCATCAGACTGCACTTGTATGTCTATAGGCGCATCAGACTGCACTTGTATGTCTATATGTGCATCACTCTTTACTATTGTGTCTGTAGTATCATTACTCTGTACAAGTATGTCTGCAGAGCGCATTACTTTAATACAAGTATGTCTGCAGGCGCATCACTCTGTACTGGTATGTCTGCAGAGCATCACTCTGTACTGGTATGTCTGCAGGTACTGGTATGTCTGCAGAAGCATCACTCTGTACTGGTATGTCTGCAGGCTCTCCTCTGTACTGGCATGTCTGCAGAGCATCACTCTGTTGTGTTGCACACTGTTGTGGTAAACATCTGGGTGTAGTATCCATCTTTCTTTGTAAATCAAGAGGCACATAACGCTGTATTGATACAAACTGGGTTTGGTTATCCTCAGTGGTATGATCTGGTGTTGGTATATCCACTGACTCATCCTCTTCATCATTTGCGTCATACTGTATTGGCATATCCGATGGTTTATCAGATTGTGCTGGGGTATCCAGCCACTCCCCACATGGGTTTGGTTCATGTTGAATATAATCAGAATTGACTGACATATTAGTGGCAAGTGACCAACTTGTGGCTGTGGCAAAGTCAGATTGTAATAATTCATCTTCATCTGCGTGGGACCATAATTCAGACATCTTGCATAGACCTAAAACCAGAGTACTAAACTAAGGGACTGGCTAATATCACACACTGAATTTGATAACACTAACACTCAATAATCAAAGCAATTCAGTTTCAATTTTAATTAGTGCTGGCAAATAACTATACAGACAACAAATCTCGTAAAGTGAAATACAAGTATATTACCACACTCATGTGTGTTATATTTAACAAGTACTTATTTTCTATTTACAGATATGACTTACCTGTAATGTCTTAGTGGGATTTTCGTGACTGTAAATGTCCCTAATATAAAACGCACACTTTAGAAAATAGCTCCTCTCCCAAGGTTCAAAATAAACTAACCTTGGCTAGTGTGAAACAAACCCTGTAAACAGCTGGGAGAGGCACGCTTTATATATGGCCACAACAGAATAACAGAAATTAAGACCATCTGATCCCGGAGAGAGGTCCTTATCAGCTGTAAGTCTAAAGAGCCAGAACATTCCTTCAGCATATCAGTTGTTTTAACCGGTAAGGGAAATTCTTGATGGACACCACACAGTCTGCCAGAGGCGACTGCTGCCAGTTAAGGGTTTATGGCATGAGAATATCAAGCGTGGCTACAGCAGTTGAGCAGGACTGAACGGTGTATATTAACATAGCATAACCTGGTCTATACCAAAAGGAGAGATAATTGATAAGTTGTTTGTACTCTAATGCATAACCACCTAATTAAGCCCCTGATTGCTATGGGCTTTTTTTATGAGTAACATGTCAGTATGTGAGTGCATTAATACCCTTACCTAAATTTGACAGAATTATTTACTTAAGGTGTTCTGGCACTAACCCCTCGAAATGTCTGTTGTTTGTGAGACTCTTGGTCATCACATTCAAACAGCATCCAGCACAAATGTCGGTTGTTTGTGAGACTCTTGGTCATCACATTCAAACAGCATCCAGCACAAATGTTTGTTGTTTGTGAGACTCTTGGTCATCACATTCAAACAGCATCCAGCACAAATGTCTATTGTTGTTTGTGAGATTCTTGGTCATCACATTCAAACAGCATCCAGCACAAATGTCTGTTGTTGTTTGTGAGATTCTTGGTCATCACATTCAAACAGCATCCAGCACAAATGTCTGTTGTTGTTTGTGAGATTCTTGGTCATCACATTCAAACAGCATCCAGCACAAATGACTGTTGTTTGTGAGACTCTTGGTCATCACATTCAAACAGCATCCAGCACAAATGTTTGTTGTTTGTGAGATTCTTGGTCATCACATTCAAACAGCATCCAGCACAAATGTCGGTTGTTTGTGAGATTCTTGGTCATCACATTCAAACAGCATCCAGCACAAATGTCGGTTGTTTGTGAGATTCTTGGTCATCACATTCAAACAGCATCCAGCACAAATGTCTGTTGTTTGTGAGATTCTTGGTCATCACATTCAAACAGCATCCAGCACAAATGTCTGTTGTTTGTTAGACTCTTGGTCATCACATTCAAACAGCATCCAGCACAAATGTCGGTTGTTTGTGAGATTCTTGGTCATCACATTCAAACAGCATCCAGCACAAATGTCTGTTGTTTGTGAGACTCTTGGTCATCACATTCAAACAGCATCCAGCAGAGACAACCAACTTTGTTTGTCAAACGCTGTTATTACATTCAGACAGCATCTGTCGTTGCTTTTGACTCTCTTGGTCATTAGTGGCAGTGGGGTAGCCATTCACACAACATCCAGCACTGACCACTGCTGTTTGTCAGACACTCTTTGATCACAAGACTGTTGTCTGTGTCCTCGCGCTGTAGGTGTGTGGTTATCAAATCTCCATGTTGTGTCTTTGTATGCTAATTTTGTTTTATGAGCATCCTCTTGTTTCAGGTTCAATGACATCAGTACATCTGTACGCATCATCTGCTGTTCGTTTGCTCAGTACTTTGTGCTAAACCACCCAGAACTGACTAAAGACATCCTTGGTAAGGACTCAAATCTCCCATTACGGTGTTGTAATTCAAACACACTTCTATTCTAGTATATGCATTATCATGTAGATTCAGAATATTGCGTTTTTGTCTGGAAAATGGATGTTTGGGAGCAGACAGGTTAGTCGGTTAGTGTTTACAACTTGAAGTGTTTCTGCAGAGCAACTAAAGGTTCGGCAACACGACCCTGAGGAGACTGTGAGGATTGAGGTCATCAACTGTGTCATGAATGTTGCCAAGAAAGACTTCGACTTTGTAAATGAAGAAATGATGACCTTCATTAAAGAGAGAACCTTGGACAAGAAGGTAAGCCCCAGTAGGAAATGTTGGTCCCATGCTAGTGTTTTATAGGAGCATGGCATCATTTTGAAAACAGTGACACTGGTGGCCCAGTCATCTAACATGCTGCAATTCACTGCAGAGTTGCTTCCCTTGGTTGCACCAGGAACCTGTGATTGTGGGTTGGAATCCTTGTTTACACCAGGTATGTTTCCTGGTCCAAACTTAGCACATGGGTTTCACCAGAGAGACCAGCATCGCCTCCGGCTTTCCTCCCATGGTGACTCACCATGACCAAACTCACTCATTTAAAAGTAACATAATTTTTGTGGAATAGTTTGGAGTTGGACGTTATTAATCATGAATTTCACTTCCATAAACAGAAAAACTGAATTTAGAGATAAAAGTGAAGAGCTACTTTCGTAGTAAATGTTTGGAAGAACTTCAGTGTGAGTTGTTTTCAGTTCAAGATTCGTCGTGAAGGGCTGCTGGGTCTAGGCACGATGTACAAACAGGTGATGACCAAGGAGACCATCAACCCACAGCATGAGAAGAAGGTGGCTTGGATCAAGAACAAGGTGTTCCACGCATACTACCAGAACAGCAATGATGACAGGTAACCCCTGTTTTGTGGAGCAAGCAAGCTCATGGTTCTTTGCTGAGACATTTATAAGAAGTTAATTTCACCTGACACATAGTCCCATTAATAGATGTTGAGAAGTGATGCTCTGCTCAGCGTTCCCCTGGTTGACCAACCACAGTATTCTCCCTCTGATCTTGCTCTGTCAGACTTCCTTTGGTGCCCATGAGGGAGGAAACAAATGTCTCTCTTTCAAGTCTTTGTTTGTGAGGCTCACAACATATCAATAACCACTTTAATGTTTGTATGAAAAGTAATGACTTCTGATTAATTTGTAACATGATTGGTCCAAATAAGGAATGAGATTTAAATATGCAGAGATATTAAGAAATATTGAGATATTGGTTGTGATCTTAAAACATGCAGAATGGTATGTGTTGTGACTTGAGCGTCCTGCACAATGACATTACTCGTTACAGGTTACTTGTTGAGCGGATCTTTAACATCAACCTGGTGCCCTACATGCTGCCAGCGAATGTACGGATGCTGAGATTACTGCGACTCTACTGTACCCTTGATGACCATGCTGTCAAGTGAGTCACCACAATTGCACACTACATTTACAGGGCTCCAGATAGGATGTGTATCTGCGTAAAGTCGCATGGATAATTCATATATAGTGAAGCTGGCACTAAATTCAAATCAATGAGTGAATGATACGCATAGCTTTCTCAGAATAGAGTCAGATTTTGTTTACATGCGTGAAGCAAACCTGTCAAAATATTGTTTCAGTCCTACACATCTGATCTCAGGCTTACACATGTTTGTTGCTAAAAAGGTTGGGCAAGCCATCGATACTATCTAAATATAAAGCTTTGTAACCAATCAGGTTCACACGAAAAAAATGGCTTGCTACCTGCCTGGTTTTGGTTGTCTGTATTGAAGTGAAAATTGTCGAGTTTTCCTGAATGATCTCCGTTAATATTTCCAATCCACATTCGGGACACGATTTGTTTAAAATCTAGAGCTGCTGAGTGTTATGTGTCTCATGTTGTATTGCTTCATGTGTAAATGTTGTGTTGATTTCTTTGCAGGGCATTTAATGAATTATTGAAGCACAGAAGTTCGTAAGTATGACACACTGACAAGACATTAATCACTTGCCTCGATCACATCAATGTACAGATTTACCTTGATTATAATGCTTTGTGAGGACCATACGCTCGCGTGCGAGTTATACTAAAGTGGTAAGCACTTAGGATCTGGCTGTCTAAACTCTCCCACTGCTGTTACTGCAGCACAAAACTTAAAAACTGTTGAGGACAGCATTAGCTGCCTGACTAGGCCATACGTGGGTAGTACTAGTGGTCTGAGAGGTTTGTCGCTTTGCAGGGTCCGGGTCCAAGTTATGCAGCTTCTAGAGGCTATAGAACTACACGGACAGCCGAACGCCCCTCCACTCTTTCCAAGACTGTCAGGTCTTGCTCGTAAGTATTGAATATGGTTCCGTTGATGACAATAAAAGAATATTACATAATATAAAATCCTACTTTGTAAAGGTATGCATTGCCAAAAAATAAATATGTGCAGTGTGTCCATCGAAGTCCATGTTGAGCGGATGTGTATTGTGTATGAACCCTGACAATCACATCATACCCATGGGCGGTTGCTGCTATTTTTTCTGACTGCCCCAACAGGTACGCTGCCTGAGCAACAAAAGCCACAGGAATACCTGAAGAAGTTCAGTCAGAAACTGCGAGATGACAAGCGGATGCGACACCTGCTCAAGGTCGTCGTGCACCCTGAATGCTCCTGTAAGAAGGCAGAGGAGGCTGTGGTATGTACGCTGGTGCACTGTCCTGGATACGCTTTACACATTGATACTCAGATGTCTAAGTGAGCCTTGAAGACAAGCATAGACCGTGTGGGACCAGGCTACAACAGGACCCCACTCCTTCATTGTGTGGGGGATCCAGGCTACAACAGGGGCACCCAGACTCCTTCCATTGATTGTCATACAGTGGGGATCCAGCATAGAATACATCCCCTCCCCTCAGCTGTCTGTCATACAGTGGGCACCCAGACTGGGTTAAGTCCTCTCCAACCATTACTTGTCATACAGTGAGCACCCAGACTGGGTCAAGTCCTCTCCCCAGTGGGGACCCAGACTGGGTCAAGTCCTCCTCTTGTCATACAGTGGGTACCCAGACTGGGTCAATTCCTCATTTCCACTTGTCATACAGTGGGCACCCAGACTGGGTCAAGTCCTCTCCCCACCATTACTTGTCATACAGTGGGGACCCAAGAAGTCCTCTCATAACCATTACTTGTCCTCTGGAGTCAAGTCCTCCCACCATTACCATACATTACTTGTCATACAGTGGGGACCACACCCAGACTGGGTCAAGTCCTCTCCAACCATTACTTGTCATACAGTGGGCACCCAGACTGGGTCAATTCCTCTCCAACCATTACTTGTCATACAGTGGGCACCCAGACTGGGTCAAGTCCTCTCCTCAAGTTACCTCTCAACCATAGATGATTCAAAGTTACAATAGATCATTAGAACATGTGAATCAATTTATCAGTATGCATGTTGCCTTGGTCAGTAAAGGGGCATTACATATGTTAACATATTTTATATTTGGGATTACACTTTCACAATAAGGTACAGATTCTAGCGCTTTTGTTGGGTTGAGTCCCATCCGGGATTGAGCCCACACCCTGAAAATGAGGCACCTAATCGCCAGCACTCAGAGTCGGCAATCTAACCTGCTCAGCCATCACGGATTCCACAAAAATGGAAGTCAGACCTCGGACTTTGTGTACCTTTCTGATAAGTGAAATTTGGCCACTGTCTGGCCTGGCGTGGGTAATTTACAGGCTGCCATATAGTACCAGTTCTCAAACAAGCTTACTGATGAACGCATGGATCCATTTCATGACTTACAGCCATAGTCAAGTGTTGTAATCGCAACTATTGCTTATGTGAAAGCCCCGTTATAGCTACATTTCCACAGATGGAGATCTGATGTTAGTAGTGATGGACATAAATACTACTCAGAGGCCCAGATAAGCTGCGTATCCGGGTAAAATACGCATAGAAAATTTCCAAGCACGCATTGAAAAATAATTGTTAAAGTTTAAAGCAAATCGTCATTACGATTTATAAAATGTTAGAATAACATCGATTGCTATTAAATTAGATACTGTTAGTATAGGATTAGTGTTGTACTGTCAGTACAGGATGAGTGATTTTTTATGACTCAGAACATACCTGCTTAGTAAACTTACTCAATGACATAATACTTAGGTGAGTAAAATGACTGAAATACGCACATATTTGAAAGCAGAGGGTAACGGAAAAATGAAATACCCACTCCAAAAAAATACAGTGGGTACAGTACCCACATGAGCTAAATCTTATCTGGAGCTCTGACTACTTTTTAGGTAGAACTGAATATTGCCATGTTATCTCTTATGTATTATTCTTTCAGAAAGAGATATTGAAAAAGATTGGATGTAATCCTGGACAAGCCAATTACATGTACAACCTAGTCAAGTCGCTACTGGAACGTATCGCCCCAGTAATGATTGATGCTGTTGCCATGGAGAAGCTTGTGAATCACGTAAATGAAACGTTAACAGGCATTGGTGAGAACATGGATGGCATCCACAATGCTGGGGAGAAGTCTGTCAAGTTACTGCTGGTGAGTGAAACCATCATACTGGGCTTGCCCTATCCTCTCAAACCTTGTGTCATCATGTGAAACCATCATGCTTGTCTTGCCCTATCCTCTCAACCTTGTGTCATGTGAAACCATCATGCTTGTCTTGCCCTGTCCTCCCAAACCTTGTGTCATGTGAAACCATCATGATGGACTTGCCCAGGCCTCTCAAACCTTGTGTCATCATGTGAAACCATCATGCTTGTCTTGCCCTATCCTCTCAAACCTTGTGTCATGTGAAACCATCATGATGGACTTGCCCAGGCCTCTCAAACCTTGTGTTATCATGTGAAACCATCATGATGGACTTGCCCAGGCCTCTCAAACCTTGTGTTATCATGTGAAACCATCATGATGGACTTGCCCTATCCTCTCAAACCTTGTGTCATGTGAAACCATCATGCTTGTCTTGCCCTATCCTCTCAAACCTTGTATCATGTGAAACCATCATGATGGACTTGCCCAGGCCTCTCAAACCTTGTGTTATCATGTGAAACCATCATGATGGACTTGCCCTATCCTCTCAAACCTTGTGTCATGTGAAACCATCATGCTTGTCTTGCGCTATCCTATCAAACCTTGTGTCATGTAAAACCATCATGATGGACTTGCCCTATCCTCTCAAACCTTGTGTCATCATGTGAAACCATCATGATGGACTTGCCCAGGCCTCTCAAACCTTGTGTCATGTAAAACCATCATGATGGACTTGCGCTATCCTCTCAAACCTTGTGTCATGTGAAACCATCATGATGGACTTGCGCTATCCTCTCAAACCTTGTGTCATCATGTGAAACCATCATGCTTGTCTTGCCCTATCCTCTCAACCTTGTGTCATGTGAAACCATCATGATGGACTTGCCCTATCCTCTCAAACCTTGTGTCATGTGAAACCATCATGATGGACTTGCCCAGGCCTCCTCTCAAACCTTGTGTCATCATGTGAAACCATCATGCTTGTCTTGCCCTATCCTCTCAACCTTGTGTCATGTGAAACCATCATGATGGACTTGCCCTATCCTCTCAAACCTTGTGTCATGTGAAACCATCATGATGGACTTGCCCAGGCCTCTCAAACCTTGTGTTATCATGTGAAACCATCATGATGGACTTGCCCTATCCTCTCAACCTTGTGTCATGTGAAACCATCATGATGGACTTGCCCTATCCTCTCAAACCTTGTGTCATGTGAAAGCATCATGATGGACTTGCCCAGGCCTCTCAAACCTTGTGTCATGTGAAACCATCATGCTTGTCTTGCCCTATCCTCTCAAACCTTGTGTCATGTGAAAGCATCATGATGGACTTGCCCTATCCTCTCAAACCTTGTGTCATGTGAAACCATCATGCTTGTCTTGCCCTATCCTCTCAAACCTTGTGTCATGTGAAACCATCATGATGGACGTGCCCAGGCCTCTCAAACCTTGTGTCATCACCACCCGTGATTTGGTCACAAATGTTTAGTAGGGCTTTCTGTCAATACAGATAATAGAGATTGATATTTGTGCATAAAGTATTTGGAGTATTAACTTAGCAAATATGCATAAAGATCTAAAAGAAACTCAGAACTGTCGTGTAATTACAGGATACAGAAACATCACATTTATATCATGATCTTTTGCTTATCTCCCTTTTCCTTGTGAATGGTAGTGGAACACTTGAATCCCTTGAAGTTCCCGAAGCGGACGTAAAAATACACTCACCCACGAGTTACCTCCCTTTTCCCGCGTAAACAGTCATGTGACTAGCCTTACTTGTCACTCTCTCCCTTTTCGCCCAAGTGGATGGTTGGGCGAGCACTGAAGTCACGCATACAGCATTATATCCTTTTTATTTAGGTCCTATTCTTCAAAATTACGCTGGGCACAATGTGTTAAGCCCATTTCTGGTGTCCCCCACCGTGATATTGCTGGAATATTGCTAAAAGCGGCGTAAAACTAAACTCAGTCAGTCAGTCAAAATTACGCTGTGTATGAATTTGGAAAAAACTACTATGTGTTATACAGGGTTCGAAATCTACGCTAGTCCGCTAGCCCAAGGCTAGTAAATCTCCCGGAGGACTACCAAAACATCTAACAGTACTAGTCCGCCAGGCTACCAGGCAGTAGTCGCATCAAAATGATATATAACTTTAGGAACCTAACTAACATATGATTCATTAATTAAATCTATCACTTTTCACAATGTCTGAAAACACTTATTACATTTCAAATGACCATATATTATCGACAAACTTAAAATTAAAAGCTATTTTTCGCAATGTTATTGGAAAAAACAATTCTCGGACACATGCTTCGGCAACGGGTCCACATCAAAGTTGTCAAAGAGCAAAGTAACGATGTTTCGAGATGATAATTAAATAAATTGAAGAATATATTCAATAACGGTACTCATAAAATCAAACCTACATTATAACTTACTATTCCCATCTTTATTGTGTGATCGTGTAATGTAATTCAAGTGACATCTTGGCTTTTGTCGCCTCGAAGTGATTTCGTGCTCGGACACGATGTTTAATGCTAAAATATATTCATGAAGCATTTTTGTCACAGGTCATAACCTAGCACGATACGTCCACTAAGGTCCAGAATATACTTATAGGTAGTGATCTTGTGCGTAACACGTTCAGAATAGCATGAATTTACCCAAAACTTTTCGTCTGAATCTAAAAGTTTTCGTTTCACGAAGTATCCATTGCTGTTATATGATTGGCTGCCTTAGGTCCGTGTGTGATTTTGACCAATCCGCGATACACAAGTAGCAGACTGTGACAAGAAAGCATCATTAGAAACCAATCTTTAACCAATCAAATCGCTTCTTACAACTGTGAAAATACTCTTGGCAAGGGTATAGTGATATAGTTGATGTTCAGAGCTTTTCGAGCGATACCATGCATCAAATAGATAAGCCTCACGTTTTTATCGAAGCTTAAAGCGGAGGTATTTCCCACTGTTGTATCACGTTAACAAGCGGAAAGCCAATGTTATCGGGAAATAGACGACCATACATATTATTTGAGAAATATCTTTGTAATAGTTTTCCGATTGCGTAAACATGAAAAACAGAAAAGAAAAACGTAAGGGGATAATTATGACATGTAACAAATGGAAAAAATCGTTGCATTGTTTGCTTCCTTCGTGGTTTATCTGGACATTATAAATGTATAAGTTTGCATTTTCATTAAATATTAACTTATTTACGTTGTAGTTGTGTTATTTGAATAATATGATCATATCCATCTGTCATGACTGAATTAAACTATATATGCCAAAACATATTGTGTGTTTGTTTGTTATGATACCACACCTCTGCCAATACTGCTTGACTAAGTCAAATTAATTATTTGGTTTATTAAAGATTGAAATTTGAGGACTACTAAAATTGTGTGAGGACTAGTAGTTTGGTGAGAGTCACTAGTCCTCATGGCTAGTAGACTTTTCAAAGAGATTTCTAACCCTGTTATATGTAAAAAAATTGTAAAAATTATTTGTATTTGTGTCATAAATTCATTGTTATGTAACTTTGTTTACATTTTATGAAATCTTGCAGTGTTTGCAGGCACAGGTTATCCGTGGCTGATCCTCACCCCCAATGCCTTTCGTGCATAAAACCATGTTCTTCCAGCTTGCGTTGTACTCATTCTGTTGATTTATCAAATCTACAATTTAATCAATATTTGTCTTATATCTATGGGCATGGATTGATCAGCCTGCAAACAGCCTGCAAACTGTATGTTGATTGCTACTGCGGAGATTCATAATACTGGTGCTATGTTGAGTACGTTGCAGGGGCAGTCTGCTGGTACGGGGGCCAAGAAGAGATCGGCTACAACGCAGTTGACTCCGACTCAAGCTAAGAAAAAGACGTCGTCTTCTTCTACGTCGCAGAAGAAAGTATCTGTTACCAGATCGGAGGGTAAATCAACACATTAGAAATCCTTCACCGAAGAGATATTACCTCCGCATGAAGAAGACGTTTATGATGATCCCCCCCGTTTCTTCTACCCGAAGTACCTACGAGATCGGCAACTCAATCGACTTCCACGACTACTAGATCGTCTACTGCAATGGTCACAGCAGGCCAGCTGTTTGACGAACTACCACAAACTTCTCTACGGAGTGATGTTGAGGCACACAACTCATCAGCCTTCGTGAATGCTTCTTCTACACCGCAGCAACTTCAATCAACTGGATCTGGGTGAAATTATGAGACAATTCACCAACCAGATGATGGCTATGATGAAACGGAGGTTCGAGGAAGAAGCGAAGGCTCTGCGAAGCCTCTCATCTACTGACACTGTGCGCAAACCTACAGACCTGCGCTAACCAAGCCTATCGGCACCTATCTGCAGCATCAAGGTCTACGCAGTGCCGGTTATCTGGACTACGGCATACAGGTTCTTCAAAGTGCCAATCAACTCAGACAGCTCACGCAACTAGGATGGCTAGTGAACCTGATGAAGTTGGAGTTAGAATCAAACAAGATCTTCAATTGCTGGGAATAAGAATTATCACAATACAGAATTGTGGTCCCAGAAGATCATTGGGTCAAGATACAAGCCATGATTCCACAAGCAGTCATCTCTCCGTTAACACTACGAACATGGCAATGTCTACTCGGTCAACTAACCTCGGCGCAGGACTTGACTCGCACAGGAAGATTACAACTACGGCCGCTGCAACGGTTCCTGACAAAACATCTGGACAGCGTCGACCCTATCTTGCTGCCAGACAATCTTAAGAGGTACCTACTTTGGTGGACCCACAGGTTGAACGTCTGCGGAGGGACCTATTTACAAGAGCCGGCCTTCGACACACATCTCTACGTAGACGCATCGATACAAGGTTGGGGTGCACATCTCAACAATCAAGTTGCATCAAGGAAGTGGTCCAAACTGAGCAGCGTTTTCACAGCAATCTGCTGGAGATGAAAGCTGTGATCAATGCCTTACAACTATGGTCGAGCTCGCTGATCAAAAGAATGCTGATGGTCCACACGGACAACTCTACTGTGGCATTCTCCATAAATCGGCAAGGATCTACAAGATCACCAAGCCTACTATAGCTCACATTCCAGTTCTTTGACATCATGGAGGAGGCAAACATCTGGATAAAGGCGTGTCACATACCCGCGGAGCCAAGAAAGTGCTTGCAGACGCTCTCTCCTGACCACTGCACCTGTCACCTACAGAATAGATACTCCATCCAGAAGCATTTCGGCTCATCATAAGGGAAATAGGATCCCCATGCATAGACCTGTTTGCCACGAGGTTCAACAAACAACTACAGACATTTGTCTCACCAGTTCCAGATCATCAGGCATGTGTATCCCGTGCACGACGAAATAGTGGCTGTTCCGTTTCCGTTTCTGTTTGCGTTTTCAATGAAAATTTTCAAATATAAGAAAGCTGGTGGTTATTAGTAAATGATAAACGTGTACTATTTATATTTATGTGGCAATTTTGTACAATGATAAAATTTGCAATTCATCGGTCCGTTTCTGACTCAAACGGACTGTAGAATGTCCCAAGAGCTTCCAACCCACACGAAGTCAGAGCATTGGCGTCAACACTAGCTCTGCAAGGAAATTGCTCTATATCAGCAATTATGGAGGGCTGCTTTTAGAAGTCGCACACATTGTTTGCCAACCACAACCTCCGAGACATAGCCACTGAAGATGTCTCAGGCATTCACCAATTTGGGCCTCTTGTTGTAGCACAGCTACTAATGGCTCCACAAAGGCGCTGAGTTGGAAAGTCTCACCCTTTATCACGTTGACTTGTTGATAACTTTTACTAAAGAAAAGTATTAGTTTGAAAGTCCATGCGCACAGTCTAGGACAGGCTAGCATGAGTGATTAAAGATCCTGTACGGGTAAAGATCTTACCTGTACGTGAAGGGGTTGCAACTCATATATGATAAAGATCTTATCATAATCTATGGGTTGTTATAAGATATCTAGTAATAAGAAGATACTAGTTTATCTGAAGCCACATGAATCAAGATGATTCAACATGTCTGAGAGGGAAGTAAGACAAGAAGTGGTCCCCCCGAGTTATAACGGAAGTTGGGAGAATAGGGTTTCGGAAATGCCGCTACGCAGTTCCCATGGGGGGGATACGGGATGTATCTAAGGACAGCTGATGAATCCAGGAAGTGGCCTGACCCACCACCAATCCGTCGGATTCTATAAGCAAAAGATCAAAAGTCAGGATAAGAAAAAATATGTAATTTTTCAAGTAAAATTGATATTTTTATACTTATCCTGACTCATGAGGTCAAGCCCTCCCGACCTCCCCGCTGGAAACACTTCAGATTGCACAGCAAATCCAAGTGCTTGGGCAGAAAAATCAGGAGAGAGTGACAAGTAAGGCTGGTCACATAACTGTTTTCGCGGGAAAAGGGAGGTAACTCGTGGGTGAGGTTTTTTTTACGTCCGCTTTGGGAATTTCAAGGGATTCAAGTGTTCAACTACCATTCACAAGGAAAAGGGAGATAAGCAAAAGATCATGAGTCAGGATAAGTATAAAAATATCAATTTTACTTGAAAAATTACATATTGTTTTGTTTGCATTTCAAGCATCAGGGCAAACTTTGGTCAATCAAACACCCAGATTGCATGTATTATATATATATTGGTCAAAGGAAGTGAACTCTCGTTTTATGAGTTACTGACTATAAACTTATTTTGTGATGTTTTTATTTTCTACTTTTGAGAGTATAATATATTTTTTCTGCATTGTGTTGTGTAAGATTTAGGCAGAATGTCCGCAACTAAGACGATAATACTTCTTGCAGGCCCTGTCATACGCATATCCACATCACTTTCGAACTGCAGAAGTGTTTGAGAAGTTCCTCACGTTCTTGAATCATGACGACGACACAGTCAGTAAGTACCAGGTTTCTGTATTAACTCTGTCTTGCTAATGTGTTCTGAAATGGCAACTATTTGTCTTCCGTTTCATCTTGTCTAATAGAGTAACTTATATGAAACCTTTGAACTAAGTCTGAAATGAAGGCTCTGAAACATCTGTTTTTCCAGGTGATATTACACAACAGATCATCACCAACACTGGTTCAAACCTGCAGAGGATGCACCCTGACATATACTCGTAAGACTCTATATGCACTTCTCTGTAAACAGGCTTGCTCTATCAAATCACAACAGGAGGACAAGGGGATGTGTAGATGGCAAGGGTGATACGTGGTTGTGTAGAGGAAAAGGGGTTGTGTAGAGGAGAAGGGGGATAAGTGGTTGTGTAGGGGATAAGGGGTTGTGTAGTGGACAAGGGGTTGTTTAGAGGACAAGGGGGATAAGTGGTTGTGTAGGGGATAAGTGGTTGTGTAGGGGATAAGTGGTTGTGTAGAGGATAAGGGGTTGTGTAGAGGACAAGGGGGATAAGTGGTTGTGTAGGGGTAAGTGGTTGTGTAGGGGGGTAAGGGGATAAGTGGTTGTGTAGGGGATAAGTGGTTGTGTAGGGGGTAAGTAGTTGTGTGCAGGGGATAAAGGGGTTGTTTAGAGGACAAGGGGGATAAGTGGTTGTGTAGAAGAGGAAAAGGGGGTTGTGTAGAGGGACAAAGGGTGATAAGTGGCTGTGTAGGGGATAAGGGGTTGTGTAGAGGGACAAGGGGTTGTTTAGAGGACAAAGGGGGATAAGTGGTTGTGTAGGGGATAGAAGTGGTTGTGTAGGGGTAAGAAGTGGTTGTGTAGAGGGATAAGGGGTTGTTTAGAGGGACAAGGGGGATAGAAGTGGTTGTGTAGGGGATAAGTGGTTGTGTGTAGGGGATAAGTGGTTGTGTAGAGGATAAGGGGGTTGTGTAGAGGACAAAGGGGATAGAAGTGGTTGTGTAGGAGATAGAGTGGTTGTGTAGAGGGGATTAGTGGTTGTGTAGAGGGACAAAGGGGGATAAGTGGTTGTTTGTGTAGGGGATAAGTGGTGTAGAGGATAAAAGGGGGTTGTGTAGGGGATAAGGGGTTGTGTAGAGGACAAGGGGATAAGTGGTTGTGTGTAAGGGGTTGTGTAGAGGGACAAGGGGGATAAGAGGGGTTGTGTAGGGGATAAGGGGGTTGTGTAGAGGATAAGGGGTTGTGTAGAGGACAAGGGGGATAAGTGGTTGTGTAGAGGATAAGGGGTTGTGTATAGGACAAGGGGGATAAGTTTTTGTGTAGAGGACAAGCTGGTTAAGTGTGTTATGCTAAACAGACGTATTAAATCCATTGAAAAGATGCTACCCATATTACTTTATGCGGTTGTGTAGGGGATAAGGGGTTGTGTAGAAGATAAGGGGTTGTGTAGAGGACAAGGGGGATAAGTGGTTGTGTAGAGGATAAGTGGTTGTGTAGAGGACAAGGGGTTGTGTAGTGGACAAGGGGTTGTGTAGAGGACAAGGGGTTGTGTAGAGGATAAGGGGTTGTGTAGAGGATAAGTGGTTGTGTAGAGGATAAGGGGTTGTGTAGAGGACAAGGGGGATAAGTGGTTGTGTAGAGGATAAGTGGTTGTGTAGAGGATAAGGGGTTGTGTAGAGGACAAGGGGGATAAGTGGTTGTGTAGAGGATAAGTGGTTGTGTAGAGGACAAGGGGTTGTGTAGTGGACTAGGGGTTGTGTAGAGGATAAGTGGTTGTGTAGAGGACAAGGGGTTGTGTAGAGGATAAGGGGTTGTGTAGAGGATAAGTGGTTGTGTAGAGGATAAGCTGGTTAAGTGTGTTATGGTAAACAGACTTATTAAATCCATTGAAAAGATGCTACCCATATTACTTTATGCTGCTGAAACAGATGCTACAATGAGTGAATATCATTGTAGGAGTCTTGTGCCGGTGCTGGTCCGTACAGCCAAGATGGGAAACCCCAAGCAGACAAAACATGCCATCAGATGCATCAGCGTAGTGTGCAAGAAAAAAGAGCCTATTCTGGCTCAGGTGTTCGAGGTGAGTGATTGCTTAGTGTTTGCTGGTGACAAAGGGCAGAGAGTACAAACTGAAATATTTTGTCAGGAAACTACCTCAGTCTACACTCAATCATGGCTATCGACAGTATGTTACATATAGTTGTATTGACCTCCTTTGTCGCTTGTAATGATTGTCAGGAAACTACCCCAGTCTACACTCAATCATGGCTATCGACAGTATGTTACATATAGTTGTATTGACCTCCTTTGTCGCTTGTAATGTTTGTCAGGAAACTACCTCAGTCTACACTCAATCATGGCTATCGACAGTATGTTACATATAGTTGTATTGACCTCCTTGTAGCTTGTAATGATTGTCAGGAAACTACCCCTGTCTACACTCAATCATGGCTATCGACATTATGTTACATATAGTTGTATTGACCTCCTTTGTCGCTTGTAATGTTTGTCAGGAAACTACCTCAGTCTACACTCAATCATGGCTATCGACAGTATGTTACATATAGTTGTATTGACCTCCTTTGTCGCTTGTAATGTTTGTCAGGAAACTACCTGAGTCTACACTCAATCATGGCTATCGACAGTATGTTACATATAGTTGTATTGACCTCCTTTGTAGCTTGTAATGTTTGTCAGTACCAGATTAATGTTTGGCAACATCAAATGGCATAAGGAAGCAGTTTTTCAGTTTGTTCATCTCTGTGTGACATTGTGGGTAGCTTCAGCTGGAAGCTCCAGCTCCTCGTCAGTTGCTGATGTTGAGACTTTGGTGTTGCAGTATGTGAAGAAGAACCTGGATCCAGAGTCTGCAAACTACATCACATCAATCGTAGCACTGGGACATATAGCCAAGTTGTGTCCGGAAGAGTTTGCCACAGACATGAAATCCATTGTTTCCAGAATCATAGTGAAGGACCTCCTCATGCAGGATCAGGTAAGATGCCAACAGTTGGGCTGGGGCTACTGTCTAGGAGTGAAGTTCAGTTTTGGTTTTGCCATGCATGCTTTGATTATTGCAGCAACTGAACACATTAGTTTGTAAATTATCATTGCACATACATTTTTGTTACAATGTCTACTGACAGTGAATGAGAAAACTACTATTCCATAAATATTACCTTCTGAGGTTATTTTGGGTGGTGGGGTAGCCCAGTAGCTAAAACGTTCAGTAGTCACACCAAAGACCCGGGTTCAATTCCCCACATGGGTACATTGTGTGAAACGTGAATATTGCTAAAAGCGGCGTAAAACTAAACTCACTCACTCATTCTGAGGTGATTTAGCCGTCAGATCACTTGTTTTAATCAGGGTTTTTTTTGGTGTGATTTAATAACATCTAATTGACCAGAATTGAGTCATTTCCAAATTCATAGATGCAGTATAACAAGTGAGTGATTTCCAAATTTTTAGTTACTAGTAGCAGTATAACAGTTGAGTGATTTCCAAAATCATTGATGCAATACAACAAATTAACACTCTCTTTGATGGTTTGGTGTTCCAGACAGAGTGTGTTGAGGCAACAGAAAGCTGGTACAGTGACCATCTGGTGTCTGAAGAAACACAAGCAAAGGTAACAGCAATAAACATGAAGCTTTGGCTCATGATCAAATACTGTTGGGGGGGATCTGAATTATTTCAGAGTGCTCTGAAAACAAATTCTTGGTGAGACGAAGCTGTTGTCTGGCATTTGATTTTTCATGGAACAGTCGGCAATATTCCCTCTGTATTGTGGTAGCCCAACACACCATTGGGTGACATTATAACAGCATCACTGGTTGTGACCACCATATGTAAGTTGATTGACTTTCACAAGCAGTAAAGTGCTGGGGAGATAGTCTAACCTGGGTGGTGACATAATGTGTTCGTGTCAGACACTGGACGTCTGGTGCCTTCTAACTCTGCCTTTCTTGCTGGCCACCTTTGATGAAACCAGGGGGCCACATAAATATTTTCTACAGAAGAACATCACTGTTTTATGTGTTTGTCCTGGGAAGTTTATTCTTTTCTGCATGCACTACTTACAGTCATGAACCAGCTGCTGCATTGTAATTGAACCAGCCAGTCACAACGTGTGTTATTACAATGGTCAGTTCATTCATATGTTGGGTGATATCTAGTTTTGAGCCATTTAGGAATTGGGTGTGTAAAGGTTCAGTGATTCATTCTGACCTGCATTCATAAATTAATTATAGTTTTACTCTCTGTTACATGTTACAAAGCTTCTTTTGATATTGAAAGAGTCCCAACTATGCTGCAAGATTGTGTGTCGAAGCATGCATGTTGATGTTCAGGTGCAAGCGATGAAGCTGTTGGTGAGATGGTTGCAGGGGCTGAAGAGCAACCAGAACAACTCGGGTACATCAACACTCCGGCTTCTCTACACCGTCATCATACATGAAGGGGATCTTATGGAACACGGCAGGATCAAGTGAGATGGCACCATTTGTTCAGTTTGTTGCGGCTAGCTATAGACACTAATTTCACCTGGGATTTCACTTAATAATTACTCCTTCAATACTCTAAAAGAGTCAAATACTTCAGGACATCAATGTAAAAAACGTACTGTCATGGCATCCTAATCTATCACTGCAGTTCATGTATAACTTGACACTGTGCGTAACATGTCCGTATCTCTGCACAGAAAGGTGGTAAGTAAGTAACTTGGGTCCCCACTCTAAGCCTCCAGAAAGTAACTTGGGTCCCCGCTCTAAGCCTCCAGAAAGTAACTTGGGTCCCCGCTCTAAGCCTCCAGTAAGTAACTTGGGTCCCCACTCTAAGCCTCCAGTAAGTAACTTGGGTCCCCACTCTAAGCCTCCAGTAAGTAACTTGGGTCCCCACTCTAAGCCTCCAGTAAGTAACTTGGGTCCCCACTCTAAGCCTCCAGAAAGTAACCTCGGTCCCCACTCTAAGCCTCAAGTATGCAGGTTTGCTGTAGTTGGCCATGCATCTGTAAATCTGTCTGCTGTGTAGTGACCTTGTTTCTTGTCGTTGCAGTAAACCGGAGCTGGCTAGGCTGCGGCTTCAGGCAGGGTGCTGTATGTTGAAGCTGGCCGAGGAGACCTGCTACTCCGACATCATCCCTTGTGAACAGTTCCAGGCCCTGGCTCTTCTCATCAATGTAAGGATAATACAGTTTAAATAATACTATAATATTACGTAATGTGACATAGGAAGATGTTGAGTGCAGTGGCAATGATTCCAGTGGGTTATAAAGCTGAATTAAGGACACAGCAAAAGTAGCCTGAAAACATGGCTGTGTGTTTACTTGGTTTTATTTTATATCAGTGTACTATGTTCTCATATGTCACTGGCATTTGAATAGTTTGGCTAAATTTGTCGTGTCTACATTCATTGGAGCAAAGCTACCCGTGTCATGTGATTGTACCAGCATGTCTTCTTGTTCCATGTGATCAGGACAGCTGCTATCACGTGAGAGTCAAGTTTGCCATCAAGTTGCACAAAGGGCTCCTGAACATGCGGCTGCCGCTGGAATTCATGAGTATCTTCTCACTGGCAGCCAATGATCCACTGAAAGAGAGGCAGCGTCAGCTCAAACAGTTCCTTAACGTCAACATTCAGAAGCGGCGTGACTACCTCAAGCAGAACCCTGCAGCTAGAAGTGAGAACGTTTACATGGATTTATCTGGGATTCTAAGCGCATTGCCAGTTTTGTTTACAGTTGGTATTCTTTTCAAATCATATTTCAGAGACATTTTAACATTGAACAGTATTACGGCATTCAGTGCAGTGATGAGACAGAAAATGATCCAGGTTCTTCCTCTATATTTGACCTTCTGGTCACCTCAGTCAAAATGGTTATCAGTTCAGTTGGGAACAGTTGTGGCAAAATATTGGCCTCTGAGCAGCTCTAAACAAATCCCTGCATTACATGTATTGTTTTTGGTCATGTGTTCTTGTTGTGTCAGCTCTCGTGGACAGTTGTCACTAACTGTACAATGTGGGTTTCAGACCGAATGTTTGCCATCCTGCCAGACTACATCCTGCCCTACACAGTACATCTCCTGGCTCATGACCCCGACTTCAAGACCTTCCAGCAGACAGATGCACTCAAGAACATTAAAGAGTGAGTTTCTCTCTATATGGGTCTCTTGCAGGAATGTTAAACTTGTCAACTGTGTCAACACATCACTTTGTGATGTACCTTGCTGGGTCAACACATGACTGTAATGTACCTTGCTGGGTCAACACATGACTGTAATGTACCTTGCTGGGTCAACACATGACTGTAATGTACCTTGCTGGGTCAACACATGACTGTAATGTACCTTGCTGGGTCAACACATGACTGTAATGTACCTTGCTGGGTCAACACATGACTGTAATGTACCTTGCTGGGTCAACACATGACTGTAATGTACCTTGCTGGGTCAACACATGACTGTAATGTACCTGGCTGGGTCAACACATCACTGTAATGTACCTGGCTGGGTCAACACATGACTGTAATGTACCTTGCTGGGTCAACACATGACTGTGTAATGTACCTGGCTGGGTCAACACATGACTGAGTAATGTACCTGGCTGGGTCAACACATGACTGTGTAATGTACCTTGCTGGGTCAACACATGACTGTGTAATGTACCTGGCTGGGTCAACACATGACTGTAATGTACCTGGCTGGGTCAACACATGACTGAGTAATGTACCTGGCTGGGTCAACACATGACTGTGATGTACCTTGCTGGGTCAACACATGACTGTGTAATGTACCTGGCTGGGTCAACACATCACTGTAATGTACCTGGCTGGGTCAACACATGACTGTAATGTACCTTGCTGGGTCAACACATGACTGTAATGTACCTGGCTGGGTCAACACATGACTGTGTAATGTACCTGGCTGGGTCAACACATGACTGTGTAATGTACCTGGCTGGGTCAACACATGACTGAGTAATGTACCTGGCTGGGTCAACACATGACTGTGATGTACCTTGCTGGGTCAACACATGACTGTGTAATGTACCTTGCTGGGTCAACACATCACTGTAATGTACCTTGCTGGGTCAACACATCACTGTAATGTACCTGGCTGGGTCAACACATCACTGTAATGTACCTGGCTGGGTCAACACATGACTGTAATGTACCTGGCTGGGTCAACACATGACTGTAATGTACCTTGCTGGGTCAACACATGACTGTAATGTACCTTGCTGGGTCAACACATGACTGTAATGTACCTTGCTGGGTCAACACATGACTGAGTAATGTACCTGGCTGGGTCAACACATGACTGAGTAATGTACCTGGCTGGGTCAACACATGACTGTGATGTACCTTGCTGGGTCAACACATCACTGTAATGTACCTGGCTGGGTCAACACATCACTGTAATGTACCTTGCTGGGTCAACACATCACTGTAATGTACCTTGCTGGGTCAACACATCACTGTAATGTACCTTGCTGGGTCAACACATGACTGTAATGTACCTTGCTGGGTCAACACATGACTGTAATGTACCTTGCTGGGTCAACACATCACTGTAATGTACCTGGCTGTGTCAACACATGACTGTGTAATGTACCTGGCTGGGTCAACACATCACTGTGTAATGTACCTTGCTGGGTCAACACATGACTGTAATGTACCTGGCTGGGTCAACACATGACTGTAATGTACCTGGCTGGGTCAACACATGACTGTAATGTACCTGGCTGGGTCAACACATGACTGTAATGTACCTTGCTGGGTCAACACATCACTGTAATGTACCTGGCTGGGTCAACACATGACTGTGTAATGTACCTGGCTGGGTCAACACATGACTGTAATGTACCTTGCTGGGTCAACACATGACTGTAATGTACCTTGCTGGGTCAACACATCACTGTAATGTACCTGGCTGGGTCAACACATCACTGTAATGTACCTGGCTGGGTCAGCACATCACTGTAATGTACCTGGCTGGGTCAACACATGACTGAGTAATGTACCTGGCTGGGTCAACACATGACTGTGATGTACCTTGCTGGGTCAACACATGACTGTGTAATGTACCTGGCTGGGTCAACACATGACTGAGTAATGTACCTGGCTGGGTCAACACATGACTGTGATGTACCTTGCTGGGTCAACACATCACTGTGTAATGTACCTGGCTGGGTCAACACATGACTGTGTAATGTACCTGGCTGGGTCAACACATGACTGAGTAATGTACCTGGCTGGGTCAACACATGACTGTGATGTACCTTGCTGGGTCAACACATGACTGTGTAATGTACCTGGCTGGGTCAACACATGACTGAGTAATGTACCTTGCTGGGTCAACACATGACTGTGATGTACCTTGCTGGGTCAACACATGACTGTGTTGCCATAGCTCTTGTACTATCACAATGTTGATATAGATCAATTGGTTTAATCTGCTAGGGGTAGGCAGGCTAGGGTAGGCTGTCGTTGTATGTAGTGGTGCTGACTTCACCCTTCATTTCCAGCTGCCTATGGTTTGTGATGGATCCTCTGACTGGCCGCAGTGAGGACTACAACTATGCCTTCTTCCGGCGGATGATCGAGAACATGAAACAAACCAAGGATGCCCAATGTCCCGAGGACGATGATATGAACAAAGTAGGTAGACCTTCCACTGTGTCTGAACAAAGTAGGTAGACCTTCCACTCTGTGTCTGAACAAAGTAAGTAGACCTTCCACTCTGTGTCTGAACAAAGTAGGTAGACCTTCCACTCTGTGTCTGAACAAAGTAGGTAGACCTTCCAATCTGTGTCTGAACAAAGTAGGTAGACAAGGTAATATTGATTGCAGATTTAAGATTCTAGTACTTTTTTGGCTTTTGTTACATTTGACCACTTTCTAAATGGCATTGTGTAATCCTAGCTTTCGGACGTGGGAGCCGTGCCAATTTACACTTGTCAGAGGGGTACACAAAGTCCGCAGTCTAGACTACCAGTTGTCTGACTTCCATCCTTGTGGAAGTCGCGGTAGCTGAGCGGGTTAGGTGGCTGACTTTGTGTACTGGCGATTAGGTGCCTGACTCTGAGGGGGGTGGGGATCGAATCCCGGATGGGACTTAACCCCAAAAAGTACTAGAATTTGTACTTTACTAAGAAAGTGTAATCCCAAATATAGCATATGTTACATTTGACCACTTTCTAAAATGGCATTGTGTAATCATATTAGTGTAGACATGTTCTCACAAAGCGTGTAACTATTGCAGAAGTTGTACGCGGTGTGTGATGTAGCCCTAGGTTTGATGAACACCAAAACCACCAATATCACCCTGAAGGACAACAACACGGAACCTGTCCTGCCGGCGAAACTCTTCACCAAGCCGGACAAGGTGAGACAGTAGCCTCTACACACTTTTGTGGACTCTGTAGTGAAACTTCATACTAGACCCAGGTTTTTCACAAGTTTGAAAAGTTTTCGAATATATAAATGATTAGATTCTGCCATTTCACCAGCTAAGTGCTGGATTACTGCTTCAGTTTTGTTGACAGGTGTTGGAAAATGCTGGAATTTAGAAACATCTGTCAAGCTATAATGAAATTGCTACTGAAAATTATTAACAATCAAGTTTTAAAGCATTGCTTACATCTTGTCACTTACAACATAAACAGAAAAGCTTGTCATCTGTTACAGGTTAGAGGCATATTACTGAAAATAGTTAAATTATCAACTCTAGAATCTCAGATCAAGGTTATGAATGTCGAATCAACCCATGATCAAGTGGGCTTCAGATTATGTTTAAGTCCTGGGGAAAGAGCATTTTTAATGAATTAACGAAAGGAGAACCATGTATTTGTGTGGAGACCTGTGTAATCTGTGTGGTATTGAGTAGAAACATCAGTGTCACTGTGGCACTTATCTTGATCTTCATTAGGAATAAAAGTTGTCCTTGAAAGCAAATGATTTTCTTGAAAAGTGCTTATGTTAGAGGTTTGTATGAATCTTGCAGACTTTCTGCTATGAACCAAGTGACTTGTTTTACATAAACACAGAAATTGTATTATTGGAATTAATGCACCATACTTGTTTTCTTTTACTGCAGTCTTATGCCAACACAAAAAGTTATCTTCCTAAAGACTTCAACTTTGATGGGCCAAGGGTGAGTAGATTATGTGATTCCTAGAAAGTATCCTCCTCATGAAAGTATCATGATTGACTTCCATTTTGTCTTTGTTGTGTGTAAGCAGCATTGAGATGACATGTATATTGTTCAATGCAAAATTACAAAGTGGTCTTTGTAGGTACATTTAGGGTTACAATTCATTAGTTCATGTGATTGAATTCATTAAAACAGGGATGGCAATTTTCCGCTGATCCGCGGATTTCCGCTGATTTTACTTCAAATTGTTCGATTGTGAATCGTCTAAATCCATTGAGACACCCTCAACTCGACACAATATTACGTTTTCAGCTGAAAATAGATTTTCCTGTTGCCATGCCTGTAAAAAGAGTAGCCTTCACTTCACATCCAATGTTGTACTAAATGTTGTTTGGTTTACCAGAGGAAGGGTGTGCAGGCCCTGATTGACGGTCCGCCCCGCTCCGGCTACGGCAGCAAGCCAGATCCCACCACCACAGAGATCATAGTGGAAAGCCCAGGGCCAGTTGTCAACCCACATCCGAAGGTTCCGCGCATCAAGAGAGGACCTCTCAGATTAAAGTGGGTCATGTAAAATAGGTGTTTGTTAGCTGCTCATTAGGTGCCTGACTCTGACGGTGTGTGTTCCAATCCCAAATGGGACTCAACCCAACCATAGCACTAGAATCTGTACTTTACTGAGAAAGTGTACCGTATATTAACGTAGATAAGCCAAATTTTGAGGACCATTAAAAGCAGTCTGTAGAAGGGGTCAGCTTATCTACAGGATACACTTTCGTGAAACTTTTATTTTTCCTTATCCTGACTCATGCTTATTGCTTGTCTTCTTCTTCTTGCGAACATAGTGGAACACGTGTATCTCCCAATTGAAGTTCCCTTCAATTAAAAAATCACTAATTAGTACTCACCACGAGTTACCTCCCTTCCACAAGCGCGGGAATGAGGGCGCCACCTCCACGCATGTGCCTCACTCTCTCCTTCTTCGCCCAGTGAGCTGGACGTGAGAGCGCCTGTGTCTCCCAACACACTATATCCTTTATTTATATTTAGTTTAGTACCTCTTATATTCAGTTATAGAGGTGTAACTAGTATCCTTATTGAACTTGCATTGATTATTAGTCGTGTTTCTGCTGTTTTATTCACAGTTCGCCGTGTTTGTTCAGCAGTTTACGTTAATGAGAATCTGCACAGGTTGTAAACTACGTTATTCCGCTACCGATCCACATTTAAAATGCCCTAGTTGCATTACTCCATGTTCTATTGTTTCTCGTTGTAAATTATGTATTAATTTACCAATTTCTGCCTTTGATAAATATTTATGTTCCATTTTGAGGCGGAAGGCAGATAAATCTCTATAAACAATCTTCAGTCATGGCTAATAGATCGGAAGCTATTATACCCTGTCAACTGTTGACTGACGACCCTCCACCGGCTGGTGGCCTGCCGGAGTTTCTCTCGGGGGATAAGCGTGGGACGCAGTCCGCTATGTCCAAGAAGCTACCTGCATCTCAAGACATTCCGTCTTCACAGTCTAAGACTAGGAAAGCGTCCACATCATCTCAGCGTACGCTTCGAACCCCCAGGTCCACAGCTTCGTCAAAAGGGAAATCTACGAAAGCTACAAATAATGCAAGACTCATATCTACACATTCCGATTCATCCCAACTCAAGGAAATATCTAAGATTTATCCTAGACGGGAAACATTACCAATGGAAGGTTCTTCCCTTCGGAATCACATCGGCCCCTTGGGTATTCACAAGAGTGACCAAGCCTATTGTCTCATACCTACATCGTCAAGGTCTTCGGAGCGCTTTTTACCTAGACGACGGTATACAAGTGGATCCAGATCCACAGCGTCTCAGACTACAGCTGAACTTTATAATCAAGCTACTAACACAATTAGGATGGTTAGTAAATCTACTCAAGTCGGACCTAGAACCAACGCAGGATCTGCATTCTTCTTCATAGAGATCGTCCTTGGGGTACATATTATGCATTTTCCAAGCTGAAAATGTCCTGTGACAGTTGTATCAATGTTTTTGAATAAAAAGATTGTACAATAAATAAACTCTTTTATTTATTATACGGCCCCCACTTCACGGAGTTACCTCCCGTTACGCATGCGCACCAACTGGGTAAGCACCTAGGCCCGTATCATCATTCCTTCTGCTATCACTGCCTCTAACAGACGTATGTGTCGAGCGGAGCTGACCTTTTCTGAGAGAAAGAGTATAATGTCTGAGACACCACCTGTATGTATGGTCTTTATTATACCCCCGCTACGAAGTACAGGGGTATATAGCGTTCATTCTGTCCGTCCGTCCGTCCGTCCGTCCGTCCCGAAACTTTGTCCGGAGCATATCTCTTAAAGTTTACATGCTAGGTTCACCAAACTTCACACACATAGTAATCATTACCCATTTATGTGCCTTTTGCTATTTTAAAGTTTTTTCAGAATTTAGTTTTTTTGCTGTTTCCATGGAAACATGATTTAGGCTGTGACTATGAGGATGTCATCTTGTCCGGAGCAGATCTTCCAAACTATACATGCTAGCTTCATCAAACTTGGTACACATATCAAGCATGATCCCTAGATGTGCCTTTTGGGGTTTACATCCAGATATGAATTGTATTTTTTGCTGTTTCCATGGAAACATGACTTAGTGCCAAATGTGTTTGATTATTTTGTCCAGAGCATATCTCTTAAAGTTTACATGCTAGGTTCATGCTAGGTACATGCAAAATGTATTTGATGGTGACCTGACCACGGCATATCATCGCAACTATACATGCTAGGTTCACCAAACTTAATACACAAGTTAATCATGACCCACAGATATGCCATGTGCTAAAAAATAGCAATCTTCATCTACGTCCATTGTGTGCAACATGACACACTCAAGTTCAATTACATGTCAGGTTTCCACGGAAAACACACAAAAATCTAGTTTCCATAAATTATTACCGTAATCAGTACATGCCAAAACTATTATCTAACATTTATGTAAAGTTTAGTAGAGTCAAAGAGAAAGTCTTGTGAGCTGCTGATCCTTGTCACATTATATATATCAATATCAGTCATTTCCATGTCCCAAAGTGGGAAGCGGGGGTATGTGAGCTTTGCTCACTTCTACACTAGTTTTGTCCTTGTTAAGGAACAGTAAAGCTTTGCGGTCGGTTGTTTCATAATTGTGACTTTGTATTAATTATTTTACGCTAACTTTCCCGTGGTTTACGCACATGTTGCTCTGCCATGGCGGGAAGTTTAGCGTGCCACGTGGTTGTAATATTGCGTATTGAACCAACTATTTCTTCCCGTGGTAGCCTTCACGTATTTTTCAATGTTTTCTACGTGTATATATGCTGCTGGTCCGCCGTTAGCTACATGCTTGCGTGTTTGCTTTCAGGCGTTTTCCTCCTGTTCGCTCTGTGAACAAAGTATTCCGGGCCGACAGACCGCGACAAGTGTATCGTTTGCTTGGAAAAGACCCGGCCATGAGGCGAAACTTTGAAGAAATTTGTCTAGGGGTTTTCCCCGGGCCCAGAAGCGGAGGGCTGCCGATACTCTCTTTTATAGAGATGCGGGGAGGCGAGGGAACTTACCCTGGTCCCCGTCTAAGGCTAAAAGCCCGCGTTCTAAAGGAAAAAATCCGTAGCCAGTCCCCTTCTCCCGCTCCTGGTAGCGGTTTTGAAGATCCGAGTATAATCTTCACAACCCATGTTTGCCAGCAACTATCTTGTCGTAGAGGCGACTAACGGGATGGTGGTCCCTGACTTGGTTCATGATGTCATGGGTTCCCAATTGTGCAGATCGATGCTCATGCTGTTGATCACTGGATTTCTGGTCAGACTTCGATTATTTACAGACCGCCTCTGGCGTATTGCTGAGTCGCGGCGTAAAACTAAACTCACTCACTCACTGGTAGCGGTTTTGATATGAGTATAATCACACAGATGCCAGCAACCGCGATCCCTAGGTCCTTTCATGAAGGCGGTCTGTCTCGACCCGTTGCCTCTGGCGTGGGCGGAGAGTCGGTCGCCGGCCGGCTCGATCCCTAGGCCTTGAGCGTCGGCGACCCGTTGCCTCTGAGGGTCCGGACCTTGCTCCCAGTCTCCCAGTCCCTCTCGGGAGTTAGGCGCAGGGACCGTTGATGATTCCTGGGGTTCCGATCCCTCGCCCTCCGCCCCATGAGGCGGAGGCACCAGTTCTGCCTGGTATGCCTCCAGCGTCTGGGACGAGGTCGTGCATGCCTGCAGGCACTGGCGCTGGGCGCTCTGTCTGCTCCTCCCTCTCTGTTGTTCCTAGTGCTAGGCAGCCCACGGGTCGGGGTTGGGTCCTCTTAGCGAGGGGACCAGCCTCAGACTTCGGGCTCGGTACCCGAGTCGATGGATACTGGGGAGGTCAAGGAGCAGGAGGGTGCCTTCCGTTTCTCTTCGGCTCTGCGGGAGGTCCGGCAGCGGATTGCCGTACCTACCCCAGGCAGCGGTGCCTGTTGGCAGCTTCGGACTTAGGCTGAGTTCCGCTTGCCAGGCGAGGCGTTTGCCCCTAGGCAGCCCTCGCGCCAGGCAGCAGCTCCGCATTCTTCCATCGTTAGTCCAGGACGTGGTCGGTCCCCTCTTGTCTGGTTCTCGCCTCCGTTTTGACTTGCCCGAGCTTGTCCGGAGGTACCAGCATGGGGAGGATTCCCTGTTCGCGGTACCTATCGTGGATGAGTGTGTTTTCACTTCAGTCGCCTTGGGGGGAGGCTTGGCTTCCTCCGGAGCAGCTCCGGCTGCTTGACAAGGGCGTGTGACTCCACCGTTTGCCCTCGCGGGCGCCCCCCCCCTGCAGCATGCGTACCGTACCTACGAGGAGGTTTACAGGAACGCTATGCAGCAGGTCAGGGTGGTGGTCCATGAAGCCTACCTCTCCTCGATTCAGAGGTCGGCCCTGGAGGCGGAGGGGCATGCTGGTGATGTTTCACCGCATGTCGTGCTTCTCCGGCAGTTGTCTGAAGTGCAGGCCCACCTCGCAGCGACTCTTTGCGGTCCGCTGCGTCGGCGGTGATGTCGCGCCAGTCATGGGGATCGCGCAAGCTGTGGCTGTCGGCGTCGTTACTCGGCAGCGACACAGCAGACCTTGCTGGCCCTCCCTTCCGTCTGGGGCGACCCTCTTTCCAGGGGCACAGCAGGTCATCACGGGGAGGCTGCCGCTGCAGCTACCTCCTTCAAGGACTCTAAGGGCCTTGTTGGAGCACCAGCGGTGTCTCGCCCCGTGCTCCCGTTCCACCTTCCTCCGCAGGGGTGCAGCCTACACCCGAGTCCGCTGGCTGGCCTCGGCCGCTTGGCAGGGGTAAGCGGAGGCACAGGTCCGCCAAGGGTAAGGGCAAGGAGCAGTCCTTGACTAGCTCCCAGCCTTTTCGCGGGCGCGGGAGGTCTGCCGCGACCTCCCGTTAACCCATCAGGCTGTCGATCAAGCCGTGTCTCACGGCCAGTCAGCTCCGCTACTCGGGACGACGCACGCGCTCTTACCCGACGTGCCAGTGGGAGGCCGACTTCACCGGCATACGCCGCACTCCGG